AATAAAGTAGGTTTTATACTATTTCAAGGTGTATATAATTTAATATATTTTCTAATAGTAATAACATACCAATGATAAATGATATTGCACATAAACTTTCAATTTCTATTTAAATGTCACTTTTTCTAAGAAGAATAATGTGCTACAATATGTTATTTTACGCTATACATGCACTCGAAATTAGGCATTTGATCATGAATTTCACTCAAAATTTGTTATTATGCAACCATTCTACTTACTTTATATGTTATTTATGGTAAGAAAAACTTATTTTAGTTATTTTGGCGTATCTTAGGATTTGATTCGATTATCAATACACAGTATTTGAACATAAGATTTCTATTCACGATTCCTATTTTGATTTAACAACTATATATAAGTGTCAAAAAGAGCGTTGATAAAAATATTGTCAATCACTTGATTTCCCAATAACTTGTCAATAACTAATTACTGACGATCTCTTTTTGGTTGTTGCAAATTTCCCATTTTCTTATCTTTGACTTACTTTTATTTGTCTCTCTTACTAATGCCTTAAATTTAACAATCTTCATTTGAGTGACTTATCAACTTTTATTTGCTATTTTTTTTAATTTATCAACTTTTGTTATTATTTACCAACTTTTATTTGTGCTTCTTCCAAACGCTTTAGATTTATTAATTCTTGTGGGGATTTTCCAACTTTAGTGGTATGGCTCATCAACTTTTCTTCCATTAGATTATTGACTAGTTTGATTTACCAACTCTCAATCTGATTTGAGTTGCTTACTGAGGTTTGATTGTTTTCTTTATTAAATTTACTAGTTTTTGTATTTTGGATATTAATATTTATTTGAGTTGCTTGCGAACTAATTAAATTGACCAACCCATTTTAGGAATTTTCAATCTCGATTAAAGTGATCATAATTTTTTTTACGGTTAAGTTACTGCCTAGTTTAACATTACCAGCTCTTGTTAACAATGTTTATCACTAGCAAATCCAAAATAGTTTTATCTTTTACAAAATTTTATTTACCTTTCTTACCATCTCTCCACATCTACCAGTTTTTGTACAATAATATCAACTTTTATTTGAGTGGCTAACCAATTTTTCTTTGATCGAGTTGTCAATCGGTTATAATTTGCAACTGTCATTTGAGTTGCTTACCAATGTGTATTTGCTTTTTAACTTACCCACTTTTAAATTAAGTTACCTTTTTTATTTGCCTTACTAACAACTTATATTTACGAATTCATTTATAGCGATTACAAGTCTCAACGAAAGTTATTGTAGACTTTTCTCCGACTATGTTACCAATTATTTTTGCATTATCAACTCTTGTTTGAGTTATCTATCATTGTTTATTTGGTTCTTTTATAAATTACCAATTTTTCTCCCATTAAATTACCCCTACTTTCTGACCAAAAAAAAAAATTACCCCCTACTTTTGGGTTTCCCTTACTTGAATTGGTTACCGGGTTTTATTTATTCATTTATAAATTTACCAACTTTATTATTGAGCTATCGCTTTTATTTTGCTTAACAACTTTTCAAAATTATTTAATCTTTTTAGAAAAAACTAACCTTAGAGTGATTACCAAAATTTCTCGGATTAAATTAGCAACTAGTTTTGTATTACTAACTCTTTTTTGCATTTTACTTACAGACTATGTTTTGCATATTCTTAACAATGCCTTAAAATTACCCACTGTTGGATGAAATTACCACACATTTTATTTGAACGCCTTACAAACTTTTTTCTTGCATAAATAACCCAATAAATAATTGGTGAATTAAATAGTACCAAATAAAGTTTGTGACTAACTCGAAGAGAGTTGATAACTCATAACTAATCGATAACCTAATCGGGGAAATATTGCTAAACACTCAAATTGAAGTTAGTAATTTCTCATGAGAATTGGTAAATTTTTATAGGTAAACAAAAGTTGGTAAAAAATAAGGAAAACGTTGTAATTATAAGAAAAATAAACTTAGTAAGTAACTCAAATTGGAGTTAGTAACTCAAATTATAGGTGGTAATCTAATGGGAGTAAGTTGGTAAAATAATTAAGTATTGGTAAGTCACTCAAATGAAATTTGGTAACCAAAACTAGGTGATAATTTAATCAAACAATGTTGGTAAGTCACTCCAATTAAGGTTGGTAATTCCATAAAAGAGCTAGTAAGTTTAAAGCGTCAGTAATTTATGCAAATAAAAACTTAGTAAGTTAGTCCTGACCAAAAAAAAAAAACTTAGTAAGTTAGTACATCAATGTACAAACTATCAAAGGCAATTTCATAAAAGAGCCAATGATGTACCCAGCAAATTACTTGAATTCTAATAGAATTCTGCTATATACTAAGGCTGCGCGTGGCAACTTGCCAAATAATGTTTGATTCTGTTCTTTTGTTCCCAGAATCAGTTTGGGAATAGAAATCCGTTTGTTTAATTTTTTGATTCTGGGCACAAATTCTTGCAAATTGGTGCCCAGAATCAGTTTTGGAGCAGAATCAAGAATAAAAAAAAAGTAGTTTCTTGATTCTGGGAACAAAAATGAGAATCATTTTTTTTCTTCTTCTTTTTCTTGGTTTTTAATATAGCTTCTAATGTCCGGCGCGAGGGCCACCCTCGCCGTATTTGGCAAGATTAAAATATTTTAATAAAAAAATTTATTAATAAAAAAATTTTACCGGCCATGGCCAGCGACCAGGCCATGGCGAAAAAAATAAAAAAAAATATATTATTAATAAAAAAAATTTACCGGCCATGGCCAGCGACCAGGCCATGGCGGAAAAAAATAAAAAAAATTATTAATAAAAAAAAATTACCGGCCATGGCCAGCGACCAGGCCATGGCGAAAAAAATAAAAAATATATTTTCAATAAAAATATTTTTTTATTAAAAAATTATTAATAAAAAAATTATTTATAAAAAATTATTTTACCGGCCATGGCCAGCGACCAGGCCATGGCAAAAAAAATTAAAAAAATAATTTCAATAAAAATATTTTTTTATTAAAATATTATTAATAAAAAATATTTATAAAAAAAATATTTTACCGGCCATGGCCAGCGACCAGGCCATGGCGAAAAAAAAGAAAAAAATATTTTTAATATAAAAATATTTTTTAGTAAAATATTTTAAAAAAAATTATTAATAAAAAAATTATTTATAAGAAAAAATTTTACTAGCCATGGCCAAAAAAAAATAAAAAAATTATTTTAAATAAAAATATTATTAATTAAAAAATATTTTACCGGCCATGGTCAAGGAGGAGAAGAAAAAAAAAGAAAAAAATATTAAAATATTATTAATAAAAAGAAATTTTATGCCGTTACCAAACGCATTTCTGTTCTTTTACTATTTCAGGAATAGAAATTTTGAGCCGTTACCAAACGCCTTCAAATGCTCATAATCAGTTCCCGGGCACAGAATCAAAAAGAATCATTTTTGACCAGAATCTGTTCCCGGGCACAGAATCAAAAAGAATCATTTTTGACAAGAATCTATTCTCGGGCACAGAATGGTTGCCATGCCTTAGATTGTGATTTTTCGACAAACTTCTACTCATTACATGGTTAAGTGCATTCCTTAGTCACTAGGACCTCTAATTTTTTTTGCTTGTCCTCCCTGGGGCACCAATTTACCTCATCTATCTTGCTCGATGTACTGAATCCTGGGCCATGTCCTTTGAGTAAAGATGGTCGAAACTCACGACCTATTTTGAATTTGAATTGAAGGGAAACGAGTGTTTTGCCTTTTCTTTTATGTATTTACGATAAAACCTACAATGTCCTAAACCATGCCATTGAGCCGAATGCCTAGTATAGAGATATCTTTAGTTTCGAAAATATTCTTGGAAAATATTTTCGGGTTTGTGTTCGGGACGGAAAACGTTTTCGTGGAAAATATTTTCCTTCCTCCTAAATAGTCATGGAAAATGACTTGCTTCAAAATCATTTGCTTCTCTTCTTCTTCTTCACAAGATCGTCGGCCGTGCAGGCGAAAAATATTTTGCGAAAAATTATGTTCGGAAAACATTTTGGAAAATGACTGGAAAATATTTTCAAAGGAATAGATAGATGCAACAAAGATAATAAATAATATTATTCGATATCATGTTAGAATGTCCAATGAAAAAAATCGAAATGCATGCTACACCAAGGATCTTACTCAAAAATGCATGCAACCTTGATTTGAACCTTGAGTATAAATGCATGAAAAAACCAATCTCACTGTAAGTCGCGGACATAATCGAGTAGGTTAATAACTTGAAGGAATTGCTATTTAGTGCATGCCTACGAAAAAGAGGGAAGACGTGACTACTTCATTGCTTTTGCTTAATCAATCTCAGAACACACTTTCGGTAATCAAATCCTCATCTTGTGCATCAAATGCGACGTAAGCCTAATTTTCACCGAGCAAAATAACACAGGACACAAAAATATTAATAAAATAAAATAAAAAGATCGACGAATTGAACCCAAAAAAACACTCACCCCCTCACTACTTTCACATGCCAAATTCTCTCAGAAAAAAGAGGGGCCCCACCGCAGGCCCCTCCCCCCCCTCCCCTCTAAAACCCTTCCTTCCTTCCTTCCTTCCTCCATCAGAATTTCCAATTTTGCCATTCCTCTTTCCTCCTCCTCCTCCTCCTCCTCCCTCATATCAATAAATACTTGACAAAAAAAAATAATATTATCAATAAAATGTAAAAAGTAGAGAGAAAAGGGAGAAATAGGCTCATAAAACAGAAATTGAGGAATTTGCCCAAACTCCTTCCTTCTCATTCCCATGTACAGTAGCCTCTCTCTCTCTCTCTCTCTGATAAATTTTTACTTTCCTTCACTTTTCCATCTCTCTCTCTCTCTCTCTCCCCCCTTCCCACACAAAACACACACACAGACATTGATATGCTCATTCATTGATTTCTCTGCTTCTTCTTCTTCTTCCTCCTTACCCCATATCTCTCTCTCTCTCTCTCTATTACGTGACGTATTCACGAGCGCATAGTCTCTCTCTCCCTCTCCCCCCCCCCCCTCTCTCTCCCCTCTCTCTCTCTGTGCTTCGGGGGAACATGAGCGGCGGCGGCGGCGGCGGCGGCGGCGGCTCCTCTAGGGTTTCGATCCCGGCCGACGCGAGGAAGATGATCCAGAACATCAAGGAGATCACCGGCAAGCAGCACTCGGACGAGGATGTGTACGCGATGCTCAAGGATTGCTCCATGGATCCCGACGAGACCGCAGAGAAGCTCCTGTACCAAGGTATGCCGCGACATCCGTGTGGGTGGGGGGCGCGGCGCGTGCTGGGGGCATTGCCCGTCTCGGTTCGCTTCCGTTGGATCTCTTTGTTCCGGTCAGCTCGTTTCGGGTTCTCTCGGGACGATGTGGGGGATTTCGTTCTTTCGTGTGTTCGGAGATGGCGAGTGTCCGGGGAAGTGTGTCCAGCTAGATTCTGATGGTTATACTTCGTCGTCTTGTCGGCGTTTGGGGGTTATGAAGGATCGGGTTCTGAGTTTTTTGTTTCTTTAGCTATCGCGAGTTAAGAGTGTGGGTCGCTCGATGAGGAGATGAAGAGATTTGTAAAATAGGAAAGTGTCTGGAATGCTTTTCCTGAGCTGCTGACGAGTTTGCAAAGGAAATGGACCTTCCACAGGTGTTACCTTATGTTAGTGAGATACTTTCTAGGCGGTTGAACTTCTTCCTAATCTGACTGTTGGGACTTATTTACGGTGTTGAACTTTGTTATTGCTCTGCCATTTATAAGAAAGGCACAATCTTGAAGGGGTCGATTGGTGGGTTATCAATCGGCTGTGTAAATTGTGACCTGTGACAAATATGAAACCTGAAGTTTCGTTCACGGAGTAACCCTTTTATATCGGTATTGTTACTTGATTGTAAATTGCTAAAATGCCACCGACCTGTTGTTTTTTGTGTTTCTGCGATCCTTCACTTGCTGGCTTTGGATATGTCATTTCTTTGGTATTTCATGATATCTAATTCCTTATGGTATGGCATATCGTAAATTTGTAAGAACTTTTAATGAACCGTGCTTGAGTTACAAGCATTTCTAAAGCTTAGTTTGTGCTAGTTGTATTACCTGTTGTCCACACATTCTGTTCTTGTGACTCTCGACAAACTGCTTTTGACTTATGTTATCCCTCATTGGTAGAGTTTCCGTCACTGTCAACTATGTTCAATGCTGGAAATTTGTAAATCAAGATGCTTGACCTGGTGTATATCTATGGCGAGAAATGATGAGCTTTTTGTTTAGATTGAGTTGATGATTTGTTTTGACTGTTTTGATAGCTTTGGTATCTTATCAGTGCGATTTTCCGCTATTATCAACTGTGGCTGGCTTTTGGCTTGTATGCATGACTTTGTTTTTATACTTTTTGTTTAGTTGAGTTGATGATTTGTTTTGATGGTTCTGATCCCTTTGGTATCTTATGAGTGGAATTTTCCGCCATTGTCAACTGTGGCTGGCTTTTGGCCTGTATGCATGACTTTGTTTTTATACTTTTTGTTTAGTTTGAGTTGATGATTTGTTTTGACGGTTTTGATCCCTTTGGGTATCTTGTCAGTGGGATTGTCCGCCATTGTCAACTGTGGCTGGCTTTTGGTTTGTATGCATGGGACTTTGTATCTATCTGCTATAAAGAAACCACTTTTAATCTCAATCAGTTGCTTTTTCACTCAAATTTTTTTGGTTTATCCAGAGAAAAGCTTGAGAGTTTTTAAATGTTGATGCCTTATATGCTATTATCAGGATTTCAACTTGGTGATTCTGCAAACTCTTAAGTTTCCTAGTTGACTTAGGTTACCACTTTTATAAACATAACGTCTTATGTTTTGGTTGGCAGACACATATCATGAGGTCAAAAGCAGAAGAGAAAGGAGAAAGGAGGTATGCTTACCTTGTTCTTGTCTTTCAGAAACTTGTTTATACATTATGGAAAAATCATCTGCTGCTTAGTTTGGCTGAATGTAGCTACAGGCCTTCATTTAGTTTGTTCTGTACGAATGAGTTCAAAGCATGTCTTAGCATAAACAAAAAAAAGACAAAAGTAAATGATGCAGAGAGCTGCTCGGCTTCTAAGTTTTCTAGAGTACCAAGTAGTTAAAACTGATGCAAGTCAGGCTGATGTATGTCTTGAGGTTGAGGCAGATGCTCTGGGAAGTTATTGAACTCGTGGGGGAAAAATGCTTGTTGGCAGAAACATATGCCCGAATTAGTTGCAATTGCAGCTGTATATAGTAGAAATTGACATTATTGTCTTTCCTCGGTTTCCTTGCACGCTTGCGCAGTGGAGATAGTAGACCATCTTGTTCCCACACAGTAACATGTATTTGGGGGTGAATTCTGTTTCAAATCTTAATTTTTAGTTTTTTCTTTGGTGTTTGAGATTTCATTTTTGTTTGACATTAAACGCCTCAAAATTTTAAACGCTAATATGTTTCAATGATTAAGGTTATTCAAAGTCAAAAAGTTTTTCCATAGCTTTAAAGAGTCATAATTATCTTGTTGTTTCAATGAGAGAGTCATTGGTATAATAGGTCCAACAAACATGCCATTAGATGATTGTGCTTTTCTTTTGGCAATCCATCTTCCATCAAATGGAAAAAGCATAACAAGCATTACCATTAGACGGCTATGCTTGATTACGTTGGTTATGCCGTTTGACATTGTTGTACTTGTACGTCATCATTACTTGTGAGTTTTGATGGTTTTGTGATTTTACATTGTTAGAGTACAAATGGAAGATCACCGGAATCCAAGTCAACAACAGACACTCAAGGACGAGGGGCTAGGGGAAACAGACATCCTCGTTCGAACTATGTCTCTTCTGGTAGTTGGCTTTCTCCCTATAGGATTTTCAGTGGTTCCAGTGATTATGTCACTTGCAATTTTCAGTGCCCCCTCTCCTCTCTCTTTTGTGGAAAATTATTACCTATAGACCCATTATTCAGTCGAGTTACACATTGGAGGAGCAATGCCTACCTTAGCTCTGCAATTTTCTATCTCTCATGTGGTTTTATTGGTCGTCTTTTTTGTCCAAATGCAGGTGGTGGGAGGAATATGCTTGTTCAGAGGGACAAAAGAACTAGTAATTCAGTGGAGAGAGTGCCCAATCCTATGTCTCCGCAGATGAACAAAAACACTGCAGCGTCTCGTGCAACAAAGTAGTCTTGCTATACTCTTTTCAGTATCAGATTGTACTTTTGCTTGTTTTGTTACTTATCTGTGCTGGCCATTTAGTTTATAAAACCTCCATTGCTTTTAGGGCTTCCAATATGGTGCCAAATGGAACTTCTCATTTGTCTAATGGGCTCTCTGCTCAAGTTCATGCACCGAACTCTTCTGTTAATGGCAGTCCCGGTGGTCCTGATGTTAAGTCAGCTATGGATTTGAACACAGAGGGTTCGTTGCCACCAATTTTTTCAACTGCTGAAAATAAGCTGGGAAATTCCATGGTCGTTTCTGATTCTGTGACCATGGCAGAGGAAGGAAAGTCTGCAATGATGCCTGGCCAACTCCTGGTCTCTGCCACTTCAGCATCTGCCTCTGATATTTCGTCTGTTTCAGATCCTGTATTGGCTCCATCTGTTCCCTGGAAGTTAGGTGCAGATTCAATCAACAATGAAAAAGCAAGTGACGAGATGGTTCCGGTGGGTTCCACTTCCAAGGAAAAGTCTCTTGATTCAGTTGTGGAATTTTCCCAGGGTCATTCGGCTCAGCTACCGCCGACGTCTATGCTGACCAGGTCTGGAACTCCCATGACCAAGTCATCTTCAAAAGACGATGACAACTCACAGCTAGAGGCCTGTGACCCATTAGAAGGTATTCTGCTAATTTTCTGTGCCAGGAACATCGTAAGATTGCTTTTGTAATTTATTGAAACTTTCAGTAGGATGGATCCTCTTAACTGCAAGTGAGATTATGCCAGGATCTGATGTTTCACGTAGCATTTGTGGATCCATCTTCTGATTATTTCCTCTTAACTTTCCCATATCTGGACTTTATTAAACAGTTCTGCTGGTCAAGGACATTGAATCTTCTTGATTCTCTTTAGATTAATGATTCATCAATATGGATCCGAATTTTAGTGCTAACTGAAGTTGTCCATTGAAGTGTAGTAGTCTCTCCTTTGATGTTCCTCCATTGCCAGATGTGTCATGGCAATGTTGTTGATCTCTAATTAATAAAATTGTTTTGTTTCTTCAACCAAGTACTTGTTCAGTACTCTTTCACATTGTTGGCGTGAATCTTGCTTTATATTTCTTCCTCAGTGAGCCTCAATGTGTTCAGCTCTTATTCATGTTTCTGATACAGTGGTTGCATCTAAGGTTGCACTGGACAAAAGCAAAGCCAGCTCCCATTCTCTCTCTATGTCAAGTCTTTCTGATGGTCAGCATGTAATTTTCCCGAACCATTTTCAAGTATCTGAAGCTTTCAAGAACAGTTTGACATTTGGAAGCTTTGATGCTTGTCTTGGAGGAAGAACAGAAATCATTGATGCCAGTGGCACCGTAGGTGATGATAAATCTAGTCTTGGTGTTGAATCTTCTCAGGGAAGTGATGTAACTGTACAGGAATCTTCTCCGAGGTTGGTTAATGTCACAAAATCACATTCATTGAAATGCTTTAGATTTATCTAGGGTTGTCTGCACTCAAATATGTTGCTTTATACCTTTTCTCATTCTTTAATGCATATATGATCTGCCAAATAATTGTGCCAGAAAATGCAGTTCGAGACACGTTGGCTCATTCTGCTTCATGCTTCTTAGACACTGAAGTAGATAGAGGAAGCTAGAATTTGAATGGCATAATAGTCAAGTTCTTTGTATAGGAAATATGCTGGAGTCTTGACCTCGAGGAAATCTGAAACCTCGACAGTTTAATCTTCAGTTTCCCTTCTATATCAATCATCAAGAGCTTGCACTATCGGAAAGAGGTGGTTGGGGGTTTTTTCTATGGTTCCGTGATTGTGGATTGATGTTTCTGTGCGAATTGGTAGTTTTTCTGAGTTTTGTAGTGATTCTTCTTTCTTTGAGAAGAATCAGAAAATCACTACAAAATCAGGAGAATTTAGCATTTCTCTTTAATCCTCAGGAAGTGTGACTTGCGAAACTGTATGAATCCCCAATGGGTAGTAGTTATTCAACTATGTGTGGTGTCCTTTCACAACAACGGTGGATTCCTGAAATCAAGTCATTCACTAGCTAAATGGATCTCACTTGGACTGCTTATGTGTTTTGTGAAAGTGGTGGTCTTAGTTGTAGCAGTGATACAACTTGAAAATGGAACTCTCCAAGAGGATGAGAGTTGCATGGCCTATCTTAATGCATCATTTTCCCTTCTCATCTATTCCCTAGATCTCTTTAGTTTACTCTTTTCTTACTGATATAATTCGCTCTTTTATTGATTTTGAGGCTGACCACCCAATAAATAATTCCAACGATCTTACCCTGTATGTTCCTTTATCGGATTATCCTGTGTATTTTATGTTTCTGTATGCCCATCAATGTAAAGGGTGCTGAAAGCAACAAAGTAGAACAAAGTTTTTATCCCAAAAGAAAGAAAAGTGATGGAGCAAAGTGAGGGTTTTGATCACAAACTTTGAGCCAAGTTTGGTTTCTGTTGGAGTCCACGACAGCATTTAAGCTGCATTTTGGGCATTCCTGTGGACTATGAACAGTAGAGTATTAATTCTTGGGAACACTGGTGCACTTTTAACATTTTTACTGATTGGTTTCAGCAATCAAATTGGAAATCTTGCTGAACATCCTGAAGCTTCAGCTCATGCCCTTGAGAATGTGCAACCATCTTCGGAGAACAAGGTTTTGAGCTTAAGTAACTCAATGTTTGATCAGGCCAAGCAAAATTTGAGTTCTGAGGCCCCTCAAGATCCTGTTGCTCAAGATGTCCCCGGCAATAATAGCTTCGGCTTGATGCCATCCATTCTGGGTACCCAGTTTGTGCAGCCCGAAGGACCTGAGGTTCAGGCACGGGATGTTTCTCGACCATCAAATTTCATGGTAAGTCCGATGCTGCTGGTTGACGTAGGTTCTTTTTCCTTTTTGGCTTGATTTGATTATAGATAAGGCAGATGTCACTTAAATGTTGGCTTCCTGCAATAGTAGAGCAAGACCCAAGTTCACTGCAGAAATTTTATTTATTAATAGAACAATCTACATGTAAGTCTGAGATCAAGAGGACAACCCGCCCCCCCGCCCCCCCCAAGTGAAGAAATCAATTATGCCATGATTTCTTACTCCTTGGGCTACCATAAACAGTAGAAAATAACCAAGATTGGAAAGAGGAAATCCCCTTAATGCTCACATGAATCTCCCTCTCTCTCATTGATAGTAAGGACACCAATTGAATCAAAACATATTATTGGGGAAGACTGTTATTAATCTGATCTTTAACATGTTCTACCCTATTTCAGAGCAATAGTAAATACTTACCAATGGCGAGGAAAAACTTGTGAAAATCATCAGATTTAAAGGAAACAGAATAGATATTCAGTTGACACGTTTATGTTGCAACTTCTGCATTTGAGGCTTAGGCTGGATTACAGTGCGAGAGACTGTTTGTTTGCCTTTATTGGAATGGTAAACGCAATTGAGCATTGGAGTTCACTTTGTAAAATAGCTTGAGCTGGTCAGAGGAAGTGGTTAAGAAACAACACGTTAGAATTGAAATTGAAATTGATGGCTTTTTATTGCAGTAAATGGTTTTTTTTTTTTTTTGGTTGAACAGTAAATGGTTTAGTCACAGGTTTTTAGAGGGTATTTGATCTGAACTGTAGTTCTATTTTACTTATGAGTCCTATGTGGGAAGATCATTGAGGAAATTATGCCATTTAAGCAAAATCTATGCGAAAAGAAATAGGTAGGACATAAAACATAACAAATCCACTTGTAATCAACTGAATCAACTTTTTCATTACTCAGCTTTCTTTTATATAAAAACGTAGGAAAGAGCTAATCTTTTGGCCTGTATCATAAGTTCCATTGTGGAGAGATGACTAATGAGTTAGTGATTTTGCCTGTTATCACTATGATATGCTCTGCTTTGTCTGAAATCATCATGGTGGAGCACAACTGGTCTCTGGTTGGTTGGATTGTCAGCCTTATCGGTAGTTTATTTGACTGTTTACCTAGTTAATGATGCTCTTTGTATATCTGATGTTTTCTGTTACCAATTGTAGAATGGGAATGCTCCTGCTCTTTCTAGCCCGAGTCCAGCCACAACCCCAACTCCTCAGAGTACCGTAGCTGTGTCGCCGCAACCAGTTCCTATTTTTAGGCAGCCATATCCTGTTAACTACTTCCCTTATGGCCACTATCTCCCTCCATATTACATGCCACCAATGCACCAACTTATAGGTCACAATGGATTCACTCAACAGCCTTCAGCGGGAAATTTATATCTACCTCCAGCTGTTGCTGCACAAGGGATCAAGTACTCTTTCCCTTCATTTAAACCAGGATCCACCGCCCCTCCAATCGGAATACCCTCTGGATATGCAGCATATGGTTCTACTCCCATAGGTTATAACCCTAGTCCAGCTGTGACCTCTGGAACATCGACTATAAATGAAGACCACGTGACTAATCAGTTGAAGGAAAGTCATCCCTATTCAACTGCTCAACCGGTGGGTCCTTATTCCCCCTTATTGATCTTCTAAGTTTCTTTGACTTTTACCTGTGAATATCCTTGTTGTAGTTGCTTTGTTTTACTGCTATTTGTATACACACACTCACTGTCGAATAAACATGTTTTTACCAGAATGAAGGTTCTGCAGTTTGGATTCCTCCTGTGATAGGCCAAGATTTGAGTAGCTTGCAAGTGAACCCTTTGTTCAGTCTTCCTCAGGGACCGCACGTCACCTTTTCACCGGCACAAGCTGGTCACGGCACCTTTGGAATGCATCAGCCAACGCAGACAATGGCTGCTGCCCCAACCGTTCATCCCCTTCTGCAGCAGTCTCAATCCGGTTCAGTTGAGACGGCGGGACTCCCAACTGGTGCTTACCAGCATGCCCCACATAATGCTCAGATTAATTGGAACGCTAATTTCTGAACGGACAAGACTTTGACAGGGCAACAATCATTCAACTGTATGAGTTTGTATCGGAGAAAAGATTCAATGTCGACTCATTGACCAGCCTGAGTGTAAATACACAAAAGAGGTCGAGATATATCGGGAGAACTACTTTGGAGGGGTTTTAATCAGCTGACTAATTTTATTTCAAGGAAGGGGGTCTTTTCTTTCACTTTGGTTTGCTTTCTTACCTTTTTCCTGTGTAGTGAAAGTCTCGTTGGTTATATTATTTTCTATTGGTTTTCCAAGATGTTTTGTGGGAATCAAAGAAATCGATAGGTCGGTGGGATTCGAAAAAACTTCCATCTGTTGTTGCACTTGTATATTATCTCTTTTTAGTAAGAAAAATGAAATATAGAGTTGTGATTTTTTTTGGCTATGCTAGGCATTTTAGAGTTTCAATTGGTATTACGAGGAAACGACGTCTTATAATTCCTCGGATTTGCTTAGGGAGTTCGGAGGTTTCCATGATCCCTCGAGTGGTATAATGAGGAAACGACATTTTATTTTGCCTGGGATTTGCTTGAGTAGGTTTTGAAGTTTTCATAATCTTTTGATGGATCAATCCACCGTCCTAAAAGTATCGTATTCAAGTGCATTTTCTCGTGTTTCCCTGCACAAGATATCGTTCGTGATGGACACTTCACAGTTTTCAATGAATGATTTAGATTTGTCCTTCGTGATTCGATGGTCCTTGTAAAAAGTCTATTTTTCATTTATATTTGTCCTTCGTTATTCGATGGTCCTACCTATACTTGCCTACACAGGTACAAAAATTGTGTATCGATTCATCGTACCTAGCTGGATCTGCCTATTGATTATCGTCGAACTAATGATCGTGAACAAAATGGGATCCAGTAGTTGGAGAACCAAATTTATCGTGTTCGAACAATAAGTCTCATGGCCATAGGTGAAATTACTGTAAATGAGGCAAGGTCGCGTCTATTTTTAAACCCTCCCGAAAGAAAATTATGAAGTTTTGTCTCTCTTCTTGTGCTCAAGACGCCGCCGTTCTTAAGGATGATGCGTGGTAAGTCTTGCGAATTATCTTCGATTAATTCAGCTTTCACACACGTATAAAAGGGAAAAGACCACCAAAAACTCCAAATTATACCACCTGTGACATATTTACCTTGAACTTTTTTTTGTGACACCAAAAACCCCAAACTATGCTATTTGTGACACATTTACCCCAATGTACTTTAGTCCATGGGCATTTTCGTCTTTTTTGCTTTTTCTTTTTTTTTTTTTTTTTTTTCCTTTCCGGCGAGGGTGGCCCTCGCCGGCGTCGGGCGAGGGTCGCCTCGCCTGGGCGAGCGAGGGCGGCCCTCGCCCGACTCAGGCGAGGGCGACCCTCGTCGGCATCGGGCGAGGGTCACCCTTGCCTGAGTCGAGCAAGGGCCGCCCTCGCTCCCCGGGCGAGGCGACCCTCGCCCGACTCGGGAGAGGGCGGCCCTCGACGGATCGCGCGTCGGGCGACCCTCGCCGGCGTCGGGCGACCCTCGCCGGCGTCGGGCGAGGGTTGCCCTCGCTGAGCCGGCGAGGTGGCCCTCACCCGGGCGAGCGAGGGCGACCCTCGCCGGCGACGCCGGAAAGGAAAAAAAAAAGAAAAAGCAAAAAAGACGAAAATGCCCATGGACTAAAGTACATTGGAGTAAATGTGTCAAAAAATAGCATAATTTGGGATTTTTAGTGTCACAAAAAAAAATTCAGGGTAAATGTGTCACAGGTGATACAATTTGAGATTTTTTGTGGTCTTTTCCCCGTATAGAACTTGCTTCTAACCGAGAGTTGAGAGTAGCATTAAATGCAAAAATGTACTTGAGCAATTTGAAATTGAACCGTGGTACTCACCTTTTTCTTAGGAAAAATCTTTATTACTCTCCTCGGTAGTCTCTGCGTCAATTGATGCGTCTGGCTGCGTTTGCAAAATCTATGCACCAGACAGTAGTAAAGCCCAGATATAAATGAAAAATAGATATGATACTAAGTATACAGATTAGAATATCCTTTTCTTGGGTGCTACATCCTTTTCCGCCACTGTCTATCTTTAACTTGGTGTCATCGAACATTCAACTGGGGATCTAATCTCGAACTCAGGCTACTTTACAGAGTTGTACCGACCCGAGAGGTTCAAGCAGACCGTTTTCCCTGCTCAGTTCTTTTCGAGACACTGCTCCAGATGTTCGTTCTCCTTGATGATGGCATCAAGGTCGGCTTGTAGTCTCTCGATGTTCAGACTCCGTGAGGCCATAGCCGCGAGCTTCTTCTCATTTTCTGCGATTTCTCTCTGGACTCGATCTGCGGACAATATTTTCTCAAAGATCTGTTCGAAGCTTTCATGAATGCTGGTAAGAAGCCTGTAAGCCTGACGTCCAACTTGATCTTTCTTCGCTTCTCTACACATGGATAATATGCATGAGCATTAACACACTTCCTTCTAATAGAATTGCAAGGATGAGGATGATGTACCTGAACACAGTTTCATCTAACACAGCGTAAGTTCGATGAAGACGCTCCTGAATGGAATTACTTTCTAACTGGAGTTCCCTAGTCTCTTTTAGGATGCGTTCCACATCAGCATGTTGTTTACGACTGTTCTTCGTGATTTCTTTTATCCGCTGAATGTGGGATGTTCTAGATTCTTGTTCCGGTCTTTTCTCGAGTCCAGCAGAAAGCTCTGAACACTCTTCTTCCCTGAAGAATCAAAAGCCAGTCAGGGACAGACCATAGTTTGGAAATTTTAATAAGTCAACAATATGCTTATTCATCACAAGGGGAAAAACTGATGTTCTTATTCTTTGTTTTCTAGAAATCAATATTTGTTTTTATAGTTGTAGATCGCATACCAGATCACTATCCAAAGCAGGAAATCCAGGAGTTGATGTATTAGAATGCCAGATGCAGAGAAAATATCCTTCACTGATGCAAAGGGCTTGCTTGGCACTAGGCAATAAAATGTGGAACGTTTATCGCAAAGTGAACCCAAATACAGGGTTAGGATTTCTACACGCCTAACAAGTTTTAGGGAAAGTTTTGCTCTCTAACAAAGTAATACAGTTCTATCCTTGTATGCGCGAGAATGCACAATATCCCAACCATTCTTAGATCAAACAGAAAGGCTTGCCTCTTTCTCATTTCAGATGAAATGGAATCCACTTCTAGCTCAACTTTTTTCAGTTTTTGGAACTTCTCTTGAAATTCTGGTTCGGTGGCATATAATGACTCTTCAAGACTTGTCTTCTTCTCTTCCAGAATCAACTTTGAAGCATTCCTAAAATGGAATGAAGACAGTCACACTACCTAACATAATAAGTATCCTTATATGCTAATACAGCAAACAGGTCTAAGTTGCAGTGTCCTATGAAAGGCACAAGAAGAATGCAAGATAATAAACATTGTCAAGCATGGATTAAAAGAGAATCATCAGGCAATATAAGCGAATGGCTGTATCCTACCACTGTAACTCCAATTCGAGAAGATTCCTCTTCCTAGCATCAATTTGGCCATTAAGTTTCTCAAGGAAGAAATCAGTTGGATGATTTTCATCCAAGGCCATTTCTGCTGCGGCCTTCAGTAACTCCAATTCATCCTCAAGGTCTGTCACTTCAGAACTCCCATCTTTCCCCTCCACCATGAGCTCCTTTTCTCTAAGCTGAACCTCTTCTATCGAACATCTTGTCTTATAGTAAACATGAACCATTAATCAGGACATTGCTTATCAGTAATATGTCTACCATCTAAAAAGTCTACTTCAAATGATGCTTTTTGCCAATCACTGCTCTTCATAATACGCATTAAAACAGAGGAATAAATGCACACTCAACCTCCATGTGCTGACAAACTTGTCTTTATCTTAAAATTTTGACACTCTTAAGACTTTCTTATTACATCAGCAAGGGCAATTTATATAGGACCATCCTGTCCATGCAAAGGCCCTATATAAAAAATTCTGTAGATAAACATACCTCAGAGGACTGATTCTCTCGTGCAGTTGCATTTCCTTCGAGCACTCGATCATTTGCATCAGCTGCACTGTCTGTGATTCCAAATGCATTAACATTTGACGGGCCAGATTCCTTAATAGGCTCCTGCCTGCTCATATTATTCACAATAATATTATCTGAACCTATACCGGTAGCACATGATGACTTTGGCCCTTCAGCGTTTAGCCTAAGCTCCCTCAACATGTCTTCTACTCTCCACCAATTTAGTCCCCCTCTTTCATTGTAAACCTTCCCTATCCTGTCTCTTGCCGCATCTCTAAACCAACCTTCTTTCTTGTCTTCCGAATCGACATACCTCGCGTCATTTGCTTCTCCAACTACAACCAACTCGGACAACCTCCCGACCAAGAACCTTATCAACTCATACATGTCCTCTTCAGACGGATAAAGAAACTGCCGTAAGCACAAGCAACAGATACATTCTGGTTCTAAGCATAACTTCAAAGACGCACAAACACAAGAATCAAAAGTAAAGCAGATGCAGCAAGGTTAAACAAACGAACTGGTGCAACGAATTGATCAATAAGTGAAACATCATTCACCAGGGAAAATGCTCCAACACACTAATTCGACCCACAAAGCCTCCTCGACGCCTAACTAGAGTACACGATAAGCAACGACTTCCTATCCGCGCCATCACGGCACCCCAAATACTTGCAGGCTAAAAGTATAACCACATATTGCTGGCGCTCCTCCTCCAACTTTCTCCTCAGCAAAAACAAGAGGCACGCTCGGGCACAAATTACGCATCTCAATTGAAACCGAGCTCATCTACTCTACTTCACAGCGCTCAAACATCTCGATCGAAATTAAAAACGAAAGCACAATGCCAGTTCCTCGCCTCAATTTTATCCCACTCTCGAAAACGCAAATCCACTCCATTTTCTTAGCTCATGATGTCATCAGTCATCACCACCTTTCACTGAGCAAACAAAGACGACTCAACGCAATCGGACATCCCTTACCTTGTGGAAGCCGATGTCTCCGACGAAACCGAGATTCTCGACCGCAGAGGCCATCTCTCCGCAGATCCTGACCTTGTCGGCCGCCGACTCCGGCGGAGAAGACGGGAACAGCGCCGGATCGCGGAGAACGAGGTTCAGGCACCGGGCGGAGATGGAGGCCAGACCTTCCGGCTGGAGGTCCCCGATCGCATCGACCCCGTCCGGGATCGAGACTCCGAAGCTCCGGAGGGAGGACAGGAGCTTGCTGTCGTGCGACGACGACGGTTCCATCGCTGCCGTCGCGACCTTGCTTCCTGGAATTCCGAGCTGCCAAGCTTTGATCTGAGATTTGGAAAGGGACGAAGAATCGCGGCGCGCATAGAAAGGGAGAGCTTCACGAGCGAAGCGAATTGGTCCAAATTTCAGAGAAGTCAGTAATTTACTTAATTCATTGAAACGTTGGTAAATTCGTCGTCCAGTTACTACTACTTTACTTACTAACAGAACAGCAAAGCGGTGGGTAATTTATTACTTTATTGACATGATGATAAATTTTCTGACGGTGCTGGTGATTTACTACTTCATTTGAATATTAGTGAATTTTTTTACAACGCTAGTAATTTTATTTGTGATATTAATAAAATTTTGGAGGAGCTGGCAATTTACCGCTTCATTTTAATGTCGGAAAATTTCTCTCGATGAATATTCGTGTATCGAGCTTTCCATGCCGAAGAAGTTACTGAAAGCTACGTGAGCATGTGATCAAGCGAGGCCTTCGGTCCCGGACCCAAGCCTCGACTCGGAGTGCGCGGGGTAAATTTACTACTATCTTAGAGGAGCTGATAATGTACTTTTCATTTAAACGTTCATAAATTCCTGATAATATGGGTAATTTATTTATGACACAAGTAACATATCAAAGGAGTTGGCAATATACTACTCCATTGTAACGATGGTAAAATCCTCGTAGTGCTACGTATTATATGAGTTGGTAATATACAATTTCACTAGAATGCTTGTAAATTTATGATAGTGTTGGTAATTTGCTATCGATTTACTTGATATAGAGTTATCTTTTCTATCAAAGAGACGAGAAATCTTCCAACGACTTGAAATTTTCCGACTTTCTTGTGATTGGACGCCGAAAATCTACCAACGACCTAAGATTTCAAATGAGTTGGTAATATATGGTAAATTTCCAATAGTGTTTTTACTTCAATTGTCACTAGCCCATCGGTGATTTAAGTGGGGGGTCGTGGCGGTGGGATCTTTTATTGCTCGAGACTAGTCAGGCATCATTCTTTGGTTTTAGCCCTATCTCGCCGGCGCATGTGACACCTCGATTATCAAAAAAAAAAATACACATTTCTAAGAACGCGACAACAAAACTTTTGACATTGCTCACAAAGTGATTGCGGCATAATCTCCTCCACGAAAATGGCAAAAAAAGAGTCCATTCACGTTCTTGGCATTTCTGCTCGCAATATTGGTAGGAGACCTGAAAAGTGAAAATGAAGTCCTTCTGCGAGTCCTCAGACCGGGCATGGAAAGAATGTGGCCCACCAAACATCGCTCTTCCTTCCACATATATAGGCAAGCTCTTGGTTTGAGGGAGTTGAAACTCACTGACCAAAGGTCAGTCATATAAGTGTGCATGAACGATTCATGCTTCTTCAAATCGATCCAAGTACACATGGAAATGGCAAGAGAGGGTGAGGTTGAGGACGTGCCGTTGCCATTGTCACCTCCAAGGATGAGGTCCATGAAAATGGCGGGGACCAATGCCTTTGGCCACAACATAGAGTACGTGTCTCAAGCCTACCTCAGCAACCGATACTCGGAGATTCAAATCCAGGACGAGGTCCCCGAAGCCAACTCCAATCGCCCTCTCCCGATATATCTCAAGGCAAGGGCTCCGTAGTCTCGATCTTTCCTGCTTTCCCTTTCTCTTGTAATCTTTTCGCGGAGTTTGGCAAGGTAAAACATGGGTCATATGAACTCGTGATGATGCAGTTTGAAGATGTTCAGTACAAGGTGAAAAGCAGCCGGGCTTCCGAGAAGAACCCGGTCAAAGTGGTAGTGTCGAAGGTGGCCTCGCAAAGGAGCATGGAGAACAGTAACTACAAGCATATCTTGAAGGGTGTGACCGGCGGTGTCGGTCCTGGGGAAATTCTCGCTTTGATGGGTCCTTCGGGTAGTGGAAAAACCACCTTACTGAAAGTGATAGGTGGGAGACTACTGGAAAATGCCACGGGAACAATAACTTACAATGACATTCCCTACACGCCAGCACTTAAGAGAAGGTTAGCTAATCAATGGACAAGGGCTTCTATGATAGAATGCATATATTGCAGCCTTGGCCGGTAAGCGAGATTCATGAAAATTAGCTTGATACAGTACTCATCTTGTCTGGCAGGATCGGGTTCGTGACGCAAGATGATGTGCTCCTCCCGCAGTTGACGGTTGAAGAGACCTTGGTGTTTGCTGCCTTCTTGAGACTTCCAGGCTACATGAGCCGCCAGCAGAAATATGCAAGAGTGGAGATGATCATCAAGGATCTAGGACTCGAAAGGTACAAGCAGTTCATCATGCTAATGCTTTAATTTCTAGACTTGAGACAAACCGAGTCACAGAGTAATTTTTATTTAATAAAATATAGATGTCGGCACACGAGAATTGGAGGAGTGTTTGTTAAGGGAATATCAGGTGGAGAAAGAAAAAGGACAAGCTTAGCGTATGAAATCCTTGTCGACCCGTCATTACTGTTGCTTGATGAACCAACTTCAGGACTCGATTCCACCTCTGCCACTAGACTATTGCAAATACTTGAAGGAGTTGCTAAGGTGTGCACCGAGCTTCTCGTGATTATATGGAAATTTCGAACCATTTATATGTTCTGACCACATTTGACCGTATTACAGGCAGGGCGAACGATAATAACAACAATCCATCAGCCATCGAGTAGGATGTTTCACATGTTCGACAAGCTCCTACTCATAGCAGAAGGCTATCCCGTGTACTATGGAAAGGCCAGAGAGGCTATAGAGTACTTTTCGTCTTTGAGCTTTATCCCTGAAATCGCGATGAATCCCGCGGAATTCTTGCTAGATCTAGCAACCGGACAGGTAAAGGACATCAGCATCCCTGAAGAGCTATCAGCCCCTCGGGGAAGCACGTGTACCGAGAAGACCGTACTCAAAGTGAGAAATCTGTCATAATTTGGACTTACTAGCTCATTTCTCATCCCTTTTAAAGGAGCTGATGAATGTTCTTTTCATCAAATATATCAGTATCTCCAACTTAAGTTTAAGACCCTCTTAGAGCCGAAAGAGCACGAGAATCACCAAACCACGAGGACGCCAGAACATCTTCAAGTGGCGATCCAGATCAAGAAGGATTGGACATTGACTTGGTGGGAGCAATTCCTGATACTGACGCGGAGAACATTTAAAGAGAGGTGCAGGGACTACATCGATGTGCTGAGGCTGATTCAGGCTCTCGGTGTCGCTCTCCTACTAGGCCTGCTCTGGTGGAACTCCAAGATTGCTACCGAGGCTCAACTCAGAGATCAGGTGATTTCTTACTACATTATTTAGACTTAAACTTGGGCCACTCGTTTCATTCTGGCCTGATAACTAGAACTCTTAGTGCTTGAGCTTGGAAGCATTTGAACTTTGTTTCGTTCATGCCGCGATGAATTTCACATCATTGTTAATGCAGGTCGGGCTGATGTTCTACATCTGCATCTTTTGGACCTCGTCATCTCTCTTCGGAGCTGTTTATGTGTTCCCATTCGAGAAGGTATATCTGGTGAAGGAACGGAAAGCAGATATGTACCGGTTAAGCGTGTACTACGTGTGCAGCACCCTGTGCGACATGTTGGCCCATGTTCTTTACCCAACCTCCTTCATGATCATTCTCTACTTCATGGCGGGGTTCAAGAGAACAGTGTCTTGCTTCTTCCTCACGTTAGGTGCAGTCCTTTTGATTGCTGTCACAAGCCAGGTAAACATACACCAAGTCAGGATTTAGACTGCCGCTACGTTGGAACTAACCGGTATTCGTTCCTCAACCCAGGGTGCTGGAGAACTGTTTGGGGCTGCGGTTTTGAACATTAAAAGTGCGGGAATGGTCGTTTCGCTGTTACTCATGCTGTTTTTACTCACTGGAGGATACTATGTACAGGTATGTTAGTCAAGTCCAGAATACAGTAGTCAGTCACCATAAGGACTTTACTAATTCGCTTTTACGACGCCTAAATATTGCTTAACCAGTAATGTATGATCTGTTTGTGAATTTTTCCCTGACTCGAGATTGAATATTTGTTTAGAGATTTTTAGACATTTCTAAGGACCACACCTAGGAAATCCATGTCTATGCCCTGGTTCGGATTGATGCTATGTAATAATCTAAATGCATAATGGAGGTATTATCAAAATCGACCACAAAGGGGACAAGGAAAAGGATGAAATAGAACAGATTCACATACCACTTAGTAAGCAATGTGGACACATTTGTCTATCCCAAGAACAATAAAATCACTAGATTCTATATCACCCAAGCAGTCGGACGACTCTCCACTACCCAGTGCTGTATACTCTGTACATCCATCGGAGGTGGAAAAAAGGGTACTAACTATTAAAAATGTACCAAGACACAAGTGCCAGAACCGAAAACCTTCCTTTGTATTCCCTGGCAGTTCTGTACTAATGGAAGGTATATTATTGTGGATTGCAGCACATACCGTATTTTATACGGTGGTTGAAGTACTTGTCATTCATGTTCCACGGGTTCAGGCTCCTCCTGAAAGTCCAGTACTCTGGCAACGAACTCTATGAGTGCAAGAGCCAAGGAGGATGCCGGAAGTTGCAGAGCTCGCCCTCGTTCGACACCGTGAGCTTGGATGGTGGTTTGCAAGAAGTGTGGATTCTGCTTGCCATGGCCCTATTGTACCGGATATGCGCTTATCTTTGTTTGCGCAAGAGAATAAGCGAATGTCACCTGTGATCAAACGCTGGATTGACTTGTGCAGCTGAGAAGATTTTCTTGCCATAAAAAATAAAAACTGACTGTTAAAACTCCCCCCTGTAAAGAGAAAGCTTTGGTTGATGCTAAAAACTTGATTGACATAGGTTTTTTTTGCAAGTATAGAGACATTTTACTCAAATGGTCTGTCTATTGTTCATGAAGTTTCGGGGTGAAAAATGATTTGGAACACGCCCTTGTGATGGTTTAACTTTAGGGATGAATTATCATGATTGGTTTTGCACATGACATCAGTGAAGGACTGTTGTATCTAACAAACAATCGCTCGATTTATATTTTGGCGTTGCAACTACGTCGGACGCCTATTGGTGACGACAAGCATTTTTATTGCAAGATGAAATCATGTCTTGGAACCTGACCAAATAGTGCTCCTAGGAATATGAATTCAAGATTTGCATAAACGTTCAACACTATTTTTAGCAAAACACACAACATAAATTCCAGAACAGAACGACCACAACTGCGTTTTGGAAGATACCTTTGCCATCCTCTATTCATTCACAGTTGTCCCTCCTCATCTTATGATATCAATTTAGGCAACACGTCAAGAGATCCTGCTATAATTAGAAGGGGATAGGCTGGATGAACCCAAAAAGTGCAACAGCAAAGGGATAAAGGATGGGTCCGTTGAAACAGCAGGATCCAAGGGGAAGATGTTCTAACGTTCTGAAAAAGAGTATAAGACCACAAGAAGAACCAACGGCATTTCTCAGTTTCCTTCAAGTTTGTGTTTTGGGTTTGTCTAAAGATATCGCTCTTTTCGATCCAATCATTCTGAGTCTTTCGTCCGGCGATCATCAGTAATTGCTAGAGAGGAATTCCGCGGCTTTTCGGGTTGTTTTTTTCCGCCTTCAGGTAATTCTGGAATCATTTCCCACATTCTTTACCTCCATGTTGATCCTGACAATTTCTCATCTTTTTGGCTCATCGCCATATATGTTCATCCGATCTGGAGGCAGTCAACATATCTCTTATCGTCGGTCTAGATGAGTTTCTAAATCACTACGTTGCAATTCCGAGATGAATTCTTTCTATTGAGATAGAACATTTACTCTCATCCGTGACTACTAGAGCAAATAATTGTTGCAACAGTATATTTTGGTCTGTCATTTTCTACATTATCATGGTTGAAATTACGATGTCTACTTGATGGACGAGATCCGGTATGCAAGCGCAATGCATTTCTCGACATGAATGCGAATAAGAACACGTCGCTCTCTTGTTTTGACCCTATAAAATGTGTTAAATTGAGATAGAATTTGGGACGACATTGCAAAGGCATCGCCGCAATCTAGTACTCGAACTTGTAATCAGGAATATCTATGATGATGACATGATAGATAATCTCACAATCATACACACACCATTTAGTATCTTTCTAAATGCTGCTAAACCTGTTCGGACAGTCACTTTTGCCTGGAAACTGTTCTCTGTGTTCATTTAATCACTCATGAGTTACTCATTTCTCTCTTAAATTCGTCTCTCTGGATAGATCTCTCGCTGGTCCGAGTGATGGACGAAGGAGAGAACCACAAGTGCCACAAGATGGAGAAATCTCTGAGTCGCAAATTCACCGTGCCGAAGCTCGATCTCGAAGAAATTAGCAAAAACTCGCCCTTCAATTTGTCGCCCCGGGCGGCCAAAGCGACGGGCGCTAGCAAGTCGAACTGCCTCTGCTCTCCCACCACCCACGTCGGCTCCTTCAGATGCCGGTTCCACCGCAACTCGAGCCTCTCTCGCGGCGGTTCGGTCGGCTCGAACCTCTCCGAACTGGGCTCCAAATCGAGCCGCCTCGGCGATTCCGTGGAGGCTCAGTGACGCTCGAGACGAAAAGGGTGCGATCTATGCTCTCTAATAATATCTGGGAGCATATGTTGACAATTTACTGTCAGAAGATAATGATCAAACGTGGTCCATAGTATATGTTGTGATGGATTTGGATTGAATATGATGTTAACTAGATCTGGGTGTGTGAGCACATTTCTATATCCTCGTATGGTTGTCGGTGAAGGTAGAAACTAAACCAAAACAAGGCAAGCAATGGTAAAACTGTGCTTTATCCCTTGATTTGCAAAGTATAGATGTGAGCAGAATCATGCCATTCATGTACAGCATGTGAGGGTCCATTGCTCGGGTAATTTGGGGTCTTGAGAGAGAGAGAGAGGTCATGCATGTAGGTTGGTTCATTGATGGATTGTACATTCCAAATGCAAAGGTCTGGTAAACTCGGCACAGCCCCTCCCCTCATCTGCAGTCCCTTCATAAATGGAAGAAGTTACCACTTAGCTAAGCCAAATTGTCTAGGATCATATGCAATGTGCTAAGCCAATTAGACTTCGCATGGTTATAGCGAGACTCTCCCTAATCCCGCAAGGTCAGATTCTTTTACATCGCGATTGATTATGTCCATTACATGGCTAATCGGCAATTAAGATTAAAACCTGTGCTCCAAAAAAAAAAAAAATCGATGATGTTGCCCGTCCAACGCGACCTTTGAACAAGACGGCAACTTTCGGAAAAATATCTGAAAACATGAACTTATTAGTAACTTATCTTTTCCTTAATTACGATGATATTATATAAGGGACATGTACCTTTCTTTTAGGAATATTGTCCAAAAAGTTATAAATTTATTGTACAATGGTCAATTCAATCATAAATTTTTTAATTGTGCCGATTTTATCCTAAATCTTTTGACAACTTACCAATTTAGTCCTAAACTTTCAATTGTGGCAATTTAGTTCTAAATTTTTTGGTAATTTGCAAATTTAATACTAGACTTTTTTACGACTTGCTAATTTAGTCATTTTGGCCAATTGAGATCGGAAATCACTGACGTGGACAACGGCCGGCCATCCTACGTTGCATTTTAAAAAAAAAATTCCTTCTTTTTTTTTTTCCTTTCCTTACCCTTCGGCCCATGGCCAGTCGCCAGCAAGGGTAAAGAAAGGAAAGAAAACAGAAAGGAAAAAATTCAAAATCTGTCCACATCAGTGCCGGCTACCATAATCATGCTACGTAAGATGGCCGGCCGACGTCCACTCACGCCAGCACTTTTAAGCCAAAATTGGTAATTTTCAAAAGGTTTAGGATTAAATTGGCATGATTGAAAGGTTCACGACTAAATTGGTCGCCGTGTAATAGATTTAGGACTTTTTGAACAATTATTCCCTTTCTTTTACCTCAAAGGGCATTTTAACATGGCAACGTGAATATTAACATGTTGCTGTATTAACGTTAACAACGCACGCAAGACAGATGATATCTTGTTGGTTTAAAGAAACACATTTTTTGAGCCCCAAAAAAAAAAGAAAGAAACACATTCAACTTGATTTCATTCCTCGTAACCGATACCTAACATTTATGGTGCGTTTGTTTTAAGGTAAACCTCATGACAAATTCAAAAAAATACTTTCCCCTTTTTAGGCTACGAAGAATTCATTTGCCCAACTTTAAACCTGCATATCTTCCTTTTACCATACATGATTTTTCATTAACCGATCATTTTCAGCAAATCAGTCGTGTGAAAGTCCAGAATACTAATTCAATCGGAGAATTCATTCACTCAAACAAATACACCCTCTCAGCAATGATCCCAACCGACGAGCGAAACAGCTGGCAAGGCGGCTTCTTTTTTTCTAAATTTTTTTCATGGTTTTAATTATAAAAAAAAAACACATTATCTTATACTTATTGCGAATTTCCGAAACAACGGCGATAGATGACAACATCTTCGCCCGCCGAATGAAATATTTATATTTTTTTTTCTCGTTTTTTTTTTTTGACAGAGGAGAAATTCTTAAAAAAGTAAAAAGGGTGAATTGACAGGCTTACCTGTCCCGTCTCCGTCCGCGAGAGAGAGAGAGAGATTAATCAAGTTTTAATCACCCCTCCCCTCCCCTCCCCACCCTTCTCTCTCTCTCTCTCTCTCTTCCCCCCGCCCGGTCACCTTCACAAATAAAGTACCGCGAGGCGCGACCACACCGAAAGCGATGGACGCGCCGCGGCGGCTCCACCTCCTTCACTTCCCCCTGCTTCTCTGAAGGTGAGGACCCTCTCTCTCCTTCCGCTTCGCGCGCTCTCTCTCTCTCTCTCTCTACCTCCCCTTCGCTTCCGCTCCCGCGATCGGTCGGTCGGTTCGGTCGGTCGATCGATCGAATCGATCACTGACCTAGCGATTCGATCGCCTGCTACTCCGCCGGTGGCGATGGCTCCTGATCTCCTCCGCCTGCCGCTCGGGAGGAAGTAGTTAAGCCCGTGCGTGTTTCTCCGTCGCGCGGATCGAGTCTTCTCTGAATCGTTCGGCTCGAGTTTTGTTGATGTGTCCGTTTTCTGATTTCGTGTTTTTTTTTTCGGTCTGCCTGAGCATCTGGAGCTCCTGTCCGCTGGGCTCGATTCGATTCGATTAGATTTACGTCGCTATTGCGGCGTTCGCCGTGAAGGTTCTGCGCGAGAGTTTGCGGTTGTTAGTTCCGTGATAGTTTGATGCTGTTGTTGTATGTAGGATTCTAGTTTTTTCTTTTTTCTTTTTTGTTTTGAAAAATTGAAATCTGGAAATGGAAGTTGCGTGCTCTGCTACGATTTAGTTCAGACCATTCGCGAGAGGAGGTAGGATTGCCTTCGATGAAGCTAATCGCTCGTAATTGTTTTTCATTACCGAAGAATTAGTTAAGTTGTTCTCCCGTGTCGTGCTTTTCGACTAGATAGCAGCCACTTCGTACGTCGATAAGATCTTGTTTGCGCTTTTCTTTAACCGGCAAGGGGACACTGAATCAGCGAAAAGCTCCGGCCTCACACTCTAATAGGATAAGTGTGGAACGGGAACGCCGATGTGTCCTCAACTTTTAGCTGAACTGGTATTTATCGGTGCTTTGCAAAAGATGCTGCACTAATTTGTTAGAAAAAGGACCTAGGTCTTAAGAATTCCGCCTTTGCCTTTTGCATGTATAATGGCTCTGCAATTGGTTAATAGCTTGGGCTTCTCACAGCCTCGGGTTGGTCAATAGATTATCCTGGAGGCACGTCTTGTTGGGCCTTGTGTAGCTAGAACTTTGCGTCAACCTCCGATGTATCGTGTTCATCTTTTTAGATCCAACGGATTAAACTGCTGCATGACCGGTGTTTTTTGATCTCGAGATCTTTGTCATAACTCCTTATGCTCTATATACACGCAGTTGTCTGGCTAAAGTTAGCTCCACCATGATCTACACTGAGATTATGATTACCCCAAAACATGCAAAGTACTCCTAGATAATCCCTTCGAGTGCTAACTTAACCATCTTTTCTTGTCACGGTCTTTCATAGTGTGAAATCACAAGGATGCAAACATCTTGCCGCTTAAACTTCTCCTCTCATGTACGATGTGAATGTTGTATTATGCTAAATTCCTGTTTGTACCGGTGAGCTATGGTATTTGTGATCAAGTCTCACTTCTCTGCTTCAGACATTAGGAGTTAGAAGATACTTATTCTACATATTTAGTTTTGCCAGTGTATTAGAGAAAGTTTTCGGAAAATGATTTGTATGCTTACATAAGTAGTGAAATGCATCTTTCAGCCTCACAGAATGTGTTTTGGTTCGATAGTTGTTTGGACTTTGGGATGTGTTAGAGGCACCTGTTTGTGTATAGATAAGATTTGATGAGTGCCATATGATAATATTGACCATTAAGCGGGCATTTAGCACTTCCTCGTAACTGGTAGAGAGGAGTTTTGAATGCTTGGAAACTCCTCATGCCTCACATTCGGAGTAATCTCATAGTGTAAATCCAGGTTTGAGTTACTGAAAAAGGGCATGACAGTATGGAAAGTTCTCTGTGTACTGGTTATATTATAATGCAGATGGGTCATGTTGCTTGCTTGAATGGATTCTAGAAAAACGAACTATTGCATGAGGAGTCCTTAATTTGTACTTATGGTTTGTATAACAAAGCATGGAGACTCTGTAAAATTGGTAATTGTTACTTTAAATGTGCATGATTTTTCCATATAATTAACCGAGGAAATTGCTTACTCTGTGTAATTTTGAACAGGTATGGAGTGCTTTGATGAGCAGATAATATCATGTTGCAGTGTATGGACGGAATAAAGCATTTGTTCGCTTCTATACTGCAGTGTTGTGATCTTGATCTGTATAAGCAATCGAGAGGCCTCGAAGATCCTGAGCTTCTCGCTAGGGAGACTGTGTGTATGCACTCAACTCGATTTCTTATCATTCTGAGGTTTAGATGGCATTCCATGGCACAACTTTCCTATATTTATGGTGAACCTGTGCCCTTCTGTTTCTAGCAATCAACTTTACTGATTAGGGCTCTATCTTTAAACTTACAGTCCCGTGCACAATGTATTGTTCAGATTCATATCATACTGATGATGATCATCCTATTATGTAATTCGATTATTTCTTTTCATAAAGTTATTTATTCCTCTAGTTACGTGCAGATTATCACTTCTTCATTTTCCTGAATGCAGTCAGTGTGAGTGAAATTGAAGCGCTCTACGAGCTTTTCAAAAAAATTAGCAGTGCTGTGATCGATGACGGTCTGATTAACAAGGTTGCTTATCATCTCTGTACTTTCATTTGTCATTTTTCTTTTGGTTGGCGTAAATTTTCTTTGTATTATCTTTTGTGTCGGTGTTAAAAAGGTCATTTGCCTGCTTCTAATTCTTTTTTTTTCTTTTAAGTTGCAATATTCTTCGTGATGCTGTAGTTCTCCTGATACAGGGTTATGTGCTCTTTACTTTTCATTTCTTGTCTCCGGTCGCTCCTTTTTACTGAATTTTTTCTTCATTATAAAAATCACAGGAAGAATTCCAGTTAGCATTATTTAAGACAAATAAAAAGGAGAGTTTGTTTGCTGACCGGGTAACGTGCTCTGTACTTTTCATCTTGTATGGAAGTCTTGGAAATTCTCTGCGGGGTCTTCTATTTACAACTACTTTACATGTGTTGGATTCTACAGGTGTTTGACTTGTTTGACACAAGACACAATGGAATACTAGGTTTTGAAGAGTTTGCCCGTGCTCTATCTGTTTTTCATCCAAATGCACCTCTTGACGACAAGATTGAATGTACGTTTTTATTTTTCAACTTTCAATCCCATTAGATGTGGTCATATAAGCTGCCTTGTAATGTTTGGCTTATCCCTGTAATGTATGAAGCAGTTTCTTTTCAACTGTATGATCTAAAGCAGCAAGGTTTCATTGAGAGGCAGGAGGTATGTGACATTTCTGGTTAAACTGAATTATACTGGAGTTACTTTTGTTTCCTTCATCAAAAACTAGGTTAATCATGAATAATCCACATAGGTGAAGCAAATGGTGGTAGCTACACTTGCGGAATCTGGCATGAATCTTTCGGATGATGTCATAGAGAGTATAATTGACAAGGTAGTTCTTCATTCTCATTTGACCTTTGTTTTCTTTACTCATACTATGTTTGTTATTCAGTAGAGTTTGGGTAGTTCCTTTATTATTCATTGAAAATAGCTTCTAAATCCTCTGCCCCCCCTCCTCTCTCCTTTTCTTGTTCTGTAAAAACTTCCTTCAGACTTTTGAAGAAGCAGACACAAAGCATGATGGAAAGATCGACAAGGAAGAATGGAGAAGCCTCGTTTTGCGACATCCTTCCCTTCTGAAGAATATGACTCTCCAATATCTTAAGTAAGTCTTTTGATTTGTACTTGGATGACTTTTGCTAGTGCAAAATATGGGAAAAAGGACTAAGAATGATTTCTATGTACTGCAGTGTGATAATTGAGAAACATGGTCTTTTTCATGACTTGATCACGTTTAGGTCCATTTAGCATGTACTGATGTTGAAGCTAAGATCACTACTACTTTAAACATGCTTGGCTTATTTAACCTCTGCATTGTCATGAGTCGCATATTTTGCGTGAATACTGTACCGACAGAGTGAAATTTTTATCATAAGAGGAAAGTCCGTCGACCCTTATCTGCTCTTTTTCTAGCTTTGGTGATATTTCCTTAATATGCTCTCTTTTACTCAATGATATATGCCAAACTTAACCCAAAGCATGAAAGGTCTTAAGTAAGCTCTATCCATTGATTTGGGTGGACATTGAAGTAATTCCTAAGTTCAGATGCTCATGTGGAACAGAACTCATCCTCATAATATTTTATATATAGTTTGACCAATCGTGGAACTGCCCAAACTCCTGAAGATCCTCTAGACTTTTTGGAGGATGATCAATTTCCCCATAATGTCAGCACTTTTTTAAGTTATTTTTTGGGGAAATTACAAATGATGAATCCTTTTAGGTGTGAAAGCATGTTTAGCCATCGATCATGTAAAAAGTTTTTTTGATTATAGGGCTTGAGGGGTTATGCCTCTGCTATAGTGTACATAGAATCAGCCTTGTAGAAGACCTGGCTTAGTTTTGCATCACCATGAGTATTCTTCTTTCTCTAAGTCAGCCATGGGAACAGCACGATAGATCGTATCTACTATTTCTTTTGGCCCTAGTATGAAGATGGTAGAGATGCATTCGTTGTTAAATTTGTCATCTCATTCATTCATTCTTGTTTTCTTCTTTTACCAGGGACATCACTACCGCATTCCCAAGTTTCGTGTTCCATTCACAAGTCGATGATTCATGACGTCAAAGACTCAAAGCTGCATTTCGAAATACTAGTGAAGATTTTGTAGTTTTTTTTCTTCTCTTTGAAGATATTGCGGCCACTGTGTATCAGTGAGTTCAGAAGAGAGATTTGTCGTTCTGATTGTTTGTAAATTCAGCTTTTGATGGAGTGTGTTTGTCTGTCTTCCTGCTCGAGATGCGATACGGATTGCCATGTTTCTCTGGGGCAAGAAATTGTTGAAGGCACTGGGATAATTCAGTTGATGTCCGAACATGCGGTTAAAAACTCCCTGTGACATTCTATTATTCTCATGCGTGTAGAAAATACTTGTGTAAATTGGATTTCAAACGAAGGGGTGATTACATTGATTGAATCTTACCTGCAACGCAATTTTCTGAAGCTCCCAATGTGGATGTCTGGCTGATGTTAAAACAATGTCGACGTGATTTTTTATTTTTTTTAATTTTCGCATTTGTCTTTACTTCCCTAGGGTATCAATTATTAGAGCTAATGAAAGCTACCGCGCAATGATGATATGGAGATAAAAGATGCTTTTCACATAAGTTATATGCTTGTGTCACCAGACTGCTCTTCGAAAACGAACAAATATGCACTTGTAGACGATGGTTCTCAAGGATTTGACAAGACCGAAATCTCGGACTATCAAACCCTGTGTTATAAAAGTTGCAATATCAGAGCTCATCGTCAGAGCACCACCAGGTAAACACGAAGTTGCACAGCTAAGGAGATCAACAGAGAGAGACGAAAGAGAGGAGGAATTACCACTATAAGAACCGATGATGAGTGAAAAGTGAACAGAAAACAAAACCGAAAACACAAGGACCAAAACGCTTAAGTTAAAATAGCACTAAGAGCAGCCGCAACTAAAAAAAAGGGAAAACACTAGTAACAGTTTTAAATCTCCAGGAGTTCCAAGTGCAATAACTTAATCAACTTCTTCCATCTTGCTGCCCTCGGCATCAACCTCCGCATCCTCCAGTGGGGGCATATCCGCATCAGCCTCACCTGCATCCTCATCGATGCTCAAACCAAGCTTCAACATCCTGTGGATTCTGTTGCCGAAGGTGTTGGGGTCATCCAGACTGAAGCCCGAGGTCAGAAGTGCGGTCTCAAAGAGCAAGAGGACCAGGTCCTTCACTGACTTGTCGTTCTTGTCCGCATCCGCCCTCTTCCTCAGCTCATCCATGATGGGATTCTCGGGGTTAATCTCCATTGTCTTCTTGCTCGACATGTAACCGGCCATGCTGTTGTCTCTCAAAGCCTGTGCCTTCATGATCCTTTCCATATTGGCGGTCCACCCGTACTCGCCGGTGACCAAACAGCATGGGGAGTCAACCACACGATCAGAGACCATAACCTTCTCAACCTTGTCGCCCAAGACATCCTTAATAACCTTGCACAGTCCCTCAAACTTCGCCTTCAGCTCTTCGCTCTTCTTCTTCTCATCCTCACTTTCATCAAGTTTTAACCCTTCCTTGGTGGCTGAGACTAGCTTCTTCCCCTCATATTCCTTGAGCTGGCCGACAGCATACTCGTCAATGGCATCCACCATGTAAAGCACTTCGTAGCCCTTCTTCTTAAGCTTCTCCAGGAAAGGGGAGTTCTCAACAGCCTTCTTGCTCTCGCCGGTGATGTAGTAGATGTCGCTCTGACCCTCCTTCATTCTAGTCACATAGTCCTTGAGGCTGGTCATCTCATCACCACTCTTGGTGGAGTGGTACCTCAGCAACTCAGCGAGCTTCGTCTTGTTCTGCGAATCCTCATGGATACCGAGCTTGAGGTTCTTTGAGAATGCCTCGTAGAACTTGTTGTAGTCTTCCTTGTTCTCCGCAATCTCGAAGAAGAGCTCGATGCATTTCTTGACAAGATTTTTCCTAATGACCTTGAGGATCTTGTTTTGCTGGAGCGTCTCTCTTGAAATGTTGAGTGGAAGGTCCTCCGAGTCCACAATACCCTTAACGAAGCCAAGATACTCTGGCATCAGCTCCTCGCAATTGTCCATGATAAAGACACGGCGAACATAGAGCTTGATGTTGTTGGGTTTCTTGCGGGTGTCGAAGAGATCAAAAGGAGCCCTTTTTGGTGCATAGAGGATGGCCTTGAACTCAAGCTGACCTTCAACTGAAAAATGTTTCACTGCCAAATGTTCTTCCCAGTCGTTGGTCAAGCTCTTGTAGAAGGCAGCATACTCTTCCTTGGTGATTTCCTCAGGCTTCCTCATCCAGATGGGCTTCTGCTTGTTCACCAAAGACCACTCATGAGACACTTCCTTGATCTTCTTCTTTTTCTTCTCTTCCTTTTCTTTCTCTTCATCAACATCCTCAACCTTCCCTTCCTCGTCCTTCTTGTCCTCCTCATCCTCATCATCGGAGATCTCCTTCTCGGTGGTCTTCTCAGTCCAAAGGGAAATGGGATAGCTAATGAATTCAGAGTGCTTCTTGATTAAGTCCTTCAGGCGACGCTCCTCAAGGTACTCAAGCTGATCCTCTTTGAGTAAGAGAGTGATTTTGGTTCCCCTACCAAGATTCTCGCCAGAGTCTCTGGTGACAGTAAATGATCCACCAGCTTGGGATTCCCAAATATACTGTTCATCATCATTGTGCTTGGTAGTGACGATAACCTTCTCGGCTACAAGGTATGCTGAATAAAACCCAACACCGAACTGACCAATCATGCTCACATCAGCACCGGCCACTAGTGCTTCCATGAATTCCTTGGTTCCAGATCTGGCAATGGTACCCAGATTGTTGACCAAGTCTGCCAAAATAATTCAAACAGTCAGTAAAAAATTATATTCAAGTAAAAGTACAACAAATCAGAGACTCACCAGCTTTGGTCATGCCAATCCCACTGTCAACGATGGTCAGTGTGTTGTTCGCCTTGTCAGGGATAATGTGGATGAAGAGCTCCGGTTGACCATCAAGCTTGCTCTTATCCGTTAAGCTCTCGAATCGGATTTTGTCTAGAGCCTATAAACGAATAAATTTGAATCAGATATGGCATTTCCGTAGGTACCGCCCAAAATAGACTCCACCATGATTCCATCCAAGTTATCACATTCAGTTAATGCCAGTATCACATACAATAGGCGTAGATGTTAAGAAAGATAGCATCCATACAACAATATCGCCATTAGTGTAATGAATGTCTTCCAATAGGTAATCCAATTCAATTCTTCGACTCGACAACATCAACATGAGACCTTCCGGCATGCATGATTCGCGACCCAGCATCTAAAATAAAAACAAATTCGTACTGCAGCAAAAGGATGACAAACAAGAGTACTTTCTATTTAGACTTTTCGCGAAAAAATAAGTGATTCGGAAAAAAAAAATTACAAGAATAAAAGGAGCCTAATTCAGAAACAAACGGAGCCCAATTCAGAAAAAATAAAAGTTATACTGCGGAACTTGATCTAGATGAGTCGCTTCTTTAATAACTAGAACCAAATGAGTCCCCAACAAGCCATACGCCCAAAAAAAAAAAAATCGAAACAATTGAGAAACGCAAGGATCTTCTTCAACGGCCTAATATCCAAAGCAATAGCCAACACATCCCCACTGGAGGATCTCACTCTAAACACTCTCGTCCCCTTTCCAGAACACGAGGAACGAAAGCGATCGCACCAAGACACCCTGGGGAGCGATAAATAAACCCTCGATCGTCCTCAAACCTAACAAGTCCCGTAACACCAGCTAGATCTCAAACGAGCACCGAAAACCACCATCCCGACGATCCGTCTCGGAAACCTTTCAAAAAACAAAAAAGGACACGACGCTGCCCGCGGGGGGGGGCCAACGGGGGGGGGGGGGGGGGGTTACTTACATCGGAGGCGTTGCTGATGATCTCCCGGAGGAAGATCTCCTTGTTGCTGTAGAAGGTGTTGATGATCAGGCTGAGGAGCTGGTTGATCTCCGCCTGGAAGGCAAACGTCTCCGTCTCCGCCATTGCCCTGGACCTTCAATCGCTCCCGCTCTCGCTCTTCGCTTTTTGGCTTGATCGCGAAGAAACGACGGAGGAGACGCTCGCGGCGAGGAACGAGCGCTGCGATTCGCGAGGAGGGACGAGATGGCAGAGGGAGGGAGGAGCGAAGAGCGTTTATATAGGGAGCTTTCCAAAGTAGGGTTTCTACTTTCTAGATCCTTCTATTGCTGCACTGTTATCGGAGACTTTTTGTATTTATAGAGTCTTCCTTCGATTTTTCTTTTTTTTTTTAATATTATTTTTCATTCCTTGTCTCGCGTATTTCCGGGAAGCAACGTATCGATGCTGTGTTTGCAAAGCGAGCGTTTTATTTTTAGGGGAAATTCTAAACGAGTCCCTCGAGTGTTGTCGATTTCTCAAAGTCTCCCCACGAAATTGGAATTTGTTTCGAAATACCCCTCTCTTTTTTGATTGCCCATAGAAAAAGTCTCCGGTGATAAAGCAACCATGGAAGGATCTCGAAACCCCTGCTTTGGAAACTCCACTATACAAGAAAACGCGATTCGCTCTTCCCCTTTCAAGATGCCCCTCTAAACGTGACGATTTCGTCCCAATCAATTTCCTGAGCTTATTCCGACACCGAAAAAAAAAAAAAAAAAACCACCTGAGGATCGAGCATCCTAGTCGGGCTCATGCTAATGAGGGGATTATCGGCATCGCCGCCGCAGATTACCAAGTAAGTCAGAGAAAATCAACCAGTCCTAAAAAATAAAAGAGAAAAAAAATAAAAGGATGTCTTCACATGACGTGATCGAAACAGTGAAAATCACGTCTCACGGCAAATATCTTTGGATTGACTACCTTTTTAATGATATCAGCAACAACAGAAGATTATAGTAAATCCATGGGTCAAACTCAACTTCTTTATATGTAGCTTTTAATGTTTGTGTTGTATTTGTCAAAGTTGGATCTTGATTTAAAAAATAATAACACGAAATTTTTTTGTGCGATTCTAATCGAGCCTCTAATTTTTGCGATCTTATTTCAATGCAATTGAATTCTTCTTTTGTCAATCCATGCTGTCAAGAGATTCTTTCGATCTTGATTATATATCACAGACGTAATAGAATCAATGTTAGTTCGGACTTCATTAACATACATAAACATGAGCTACTTTTCAAGTGTTCAATGAGATCTTCAACACGTTTTAGACAAAAAAAAATTTCCATTTTCAAATATTGCATTAGTTTCTTTCTTTATTTTCGGAAAGTCTTTTCCGTACGTGGACACCAATTGTAAGTTCCCCTCTTCATGCCATCATCATCATTACGAGAAAATCTAAAAGATAAAATTTTTAAGATGAACTTAGATTTGAAAGTGAATTATTTATTAAACACTGGCCAATTGACAACGACACGTGTCTCCTCTCGATCCCGTGAAGTGGAATGCTGACGTGGCTCCCGCGGAGTCTCACGTGGTGGGCCGGCAGATCGAAGAGCCTCATCCGACAAAAGCCTTATCCGGCGAAGCCTCATCACCCGTTAGCTTCCTTCTCGACCAGCAGCAGTAGCGAGTGTCGATCGATCTTCATCAGCACCGTGTCGATCGCTCTCAGCGACTACTCTTCCTTGGATTCCAGAAATGCACGCCCATCCTCCGCATCGAAACCCAATTCAGCTTCCACGCGCCCTTTGCACATCTCGAAGGTAAACACGAACGAACTCCATCTTCTTGCGGACGTCTTGTCAGTTTCATCTCCGACATCGGCTCGTGTTTTTGTCTCCGCCCCACGCATCGGACAACCTCTCAGGGAGGCAAAATTGATCTCGGTAGCTAGGAACGACCATGGTTTGGTCGATTCCTCTGTTATGCCAGGCACTTTGGTGGCAGCGTGAGTTTCTTTTGAGGTGACGAGATTGGGATTTGAGCTGATGCTTTCTCGCGTGGATGAATTTGATTGCATCTGGTCCCGGGTGGTAGCAAAAACATCCAAAATGCAGTAAAAGTGTTCTTTTTGGGTTGGTAAATCCTGTATTGATAAATGAACGTGAAGGGTGGTCAATTGCAAAATGGTGGTCACAATTCACATTGATTCATCAACACAGAGAAATTGTTTGTCGCATACTGGGCGTGCTTACCGACCCGGAGAATGGTTTGCTACATTGTTATTTGTTATATTGAAAAACTGTGGAATAACAGGACAGCACAACATTAATTTTTCTCCGGGTGAAGAGCCAATTGTTCATGAATTATTTGGACTTGCTATCTCAAATTGTGTGAATAACTGGCCACTGTTTGATTCAGCATTCAACCTCATTCTATCAGAAAGAAAAGGTGAGAAAAATAGAGAGTCTTAGACGGTGACTCGGTATCACGCTTTGGGTGTTATAATTAAGGCGTCAGCAAGATATTATTGATTGGGATCTTCACAAACATGACGACAGTTTGCTTATCTTAGTCCTGTTTCAGCATTATTTCTAGACGTTAATCAAGAGGAATCTCCATTCGCACTTGGAGGTGTGTTTTGCCTTTCGGCTGCGCTATGCACTGAAATGAGTTACTGAATAAAAGAAAAAAACAAAAGAAAAATATTATTTTCAAGATCAATCCCCTGGGGATGCATCTATCTTGACGCTAAAATATATATTTGAACTTTTTTATGACAGCATTGCTATGGAGAATGGGCAATCTAAGATTGGCGAGGGCAGACTCTTTCTTGGAAAACATCCATCGCATCCCAATAAGAAATTACACAGGAGATTACTTCTGGAGTTTATGGGGTTTATTCCATCTATCCTATATGCTCTTCCCGCTGTCGCCGCACCTATGTTTGAGATGAAGGAACCTGAAGTGGCTCGGTAGAATACTGTGCTTTTTAGATCTTCTCATTGTGCTCTAATTAGTATTGGGGGAAAGTACATATTTCCAAATGCCAATCTGTTTTCTTTTTTTCTTTTTACATTTCCGTTTAGTATATCTAATTACCTCTTCTCTTAGTAAGTCACTGTTCCTGATTTGTATAAGCTTCAACTTTTGAAGTCTTCAGGACATTGAAGCTTGCGGATGGGGTGAGGGTTCAAGGTACATGGCATTCATATCTTTCCCCTTACTTTCCTGGAAACATGGTGGCCGCCTTTTATTGTGGAACCACGAGTTATAAAGTCAAGTTGAACAACTTGCAAGTAGAGGCTTTGTTATGGGAAAATTGAACGACTTATTCATGTGGTCGTCGTGTCATTATCATTTGACTTTTTGGGTACTAGTCCATGGATTATGTGTCACTGAGTTGCCAGCGATAAGCTCTTTTCTTTTACTCTTCTTTTTTATGAATATATGGGTTATTCCATCAACAGTTACGATGGAAATTATCCAGGAATGCTGCAGGAAGTTGTCTGTAATGTTAATGTAAGTGATGTAGTTAATAGGAAATACGGCGTCATGAAGTATTGTGGCGGGTAATTTCTGAGATTTATTTTAATATTTCTCATCAAAAGTTTCTGAGTTCCTGTTTTCTCAGAGATTGTTGAAGGGGAAGGACCAGAAGCCCGTGATGGTGATCTTGTCGAAGTTAATTATGTGTGCAGGCGCTCAAATGGGTATTTCGTTCATAGGTAATTTGTATGTCATGTTTGATGCCCAGGATCACCTTTTGGTCTGTGGGTTTCTTGATCTCGTTTTATCATTTGGCCTATCCTGATAACTCATCACTTTGTCTGTCTGAATGTTTCTCCAACTAGTCTGACTCATGGCTTGTTTAAATGCAGTACTGTAGATCAGTTTAGTGGAGAAAGCATGCCTATTGTACTTCTGTTGGATGAGAACCAAGTAAGCTCGATTTCTCATACGGTAGCATGACGAAGCTAGAACTTTGGTGTTGTAGGATCTCTATTTCTATTTGACCGGGTAATAAGATACGGCGCGAGTTATATTAGTTCACTGTCCGACATGGCTATGTATCTTTCCATTGTAAACAGAATCGGAAGTGTGTGATACTGGCATTTGCATTGGTTTTTTGGTTCTTAAACCCTTTTTGACTAACTTTTTGGCTATTCAACCCCATTAATACAGATCAGCGTTCCCCTTTGTTTCTTCCATACTCCGGTTATCAATGGGGAAAAGAATCATAGAGTCAGATCACGTTATGAAGATAAACAAAGCATGTCTCTATGTTGTTCTCTTTTCTTGTTCTTGATGAACTCTATTTGCTATTATCTGTTTCTCGGTCATTATTCTTTTCTTTCCAAACAAAAGTCAGCAGAACATATAACTGGGTATATATGTTTTGGTCCCCTCGACAGATCATCAAGGGTCTCAAGGAAATTCTGGTTGGCATGAAGGTTGGAGGTACTTTCCAGGACTGAAAGATATGTGACACTTGTGTATATGCACAACTTTGGAATTTAGATATGTGACACTTATGTATATGCACAACTTTGGAATTTTTCGAACTACTCAAAACAACACCCGTCATCTCTATTGGTTGCTGATTCTCTTTATCTTCGTCCATTATATCTCAGTCGCAAAATAGTGCGTAAATGTTCTGCGTTCTTAGCCCACCTTGTCTACTTTGGTGCTAATATCCCAATCCAGCTTTCTTCCCTTTTCACCTTTTTGTTTATCTAGGGAAATCTTTGTTTACGTCTCCTTGAATGCGGCATCAATGATATGCTGAAACAGAACCCACCATTTCCTTTCAGGAAAGAGGAGAGGGCTGATCCCTCCTTCTGTTGGATACATAAACGAAAGCCTGAAGCCAATTCCTGATGAGGTATTGACTCTCAAATCATCTGTTGTTCCTGTTTCTTCGGGTTGTCTCGTAATTATGTTTTCCACTTCCCAGGACATGCTTCTTGTCTCCTGGACGACTGTTAATTTCACCTCTGATCGGTTTATTTCTCATTTGACGTTTGCAGTTTGGACCTCGGAGGAGCCTTTTGTCACACGTGAACGAGCCCTTGATATTTGAGGTGCAGCTATTGAAAGTGCTATGACATTGTATCTTGATATCCTTGCAATTTCCTCCTCCCGTGTTTCATTCGAGTTTTTTCACGCCCAAGGAATGTCATAAAATGCTCAGACATCCTCAAGATGACCACTATTCACGTTGGTCTCACTTGAGCGGGATCTGTTCTTGTCAAGATGCACGACGCCTCTCTGTTTTCCCCCTCCCTTTCTTGCTTTTCTAACGTGTGTGCATTAGCAATGAAGCCTGACTTGATTTTATGCCCCTTAATTCTTTGTGCAATCTTTTACCAATCTAGTTTAATTTTCAATGAGTGGAATTGGGCAAAGACAGACATCTAGGTTGCTTGTACCATGTAATTTATTGTTATACATGGTACTTGAATCCTCACAACAAGATCTTTTACCAATCTTTATTGTTCTTGCCACCTTGTAATCGAGATAAGATCAAGCATACAGGAGGAATAGCAGTACTTGAATCCTCACAACGAGATCTGTCGGTTGATATGATTAGTACTTGCGGATCATAACTTAAATTGGTAATTACAAGTGAATTACAGCCCCATTGAGGTCGTTAGTCTGGACAATTGACGTAGGCTTGGGATAAAGTCGAAGCACTATAATTTATCGTGTGCTATCTTTTGTTTGATCGTCATTGACTGTCATTGTTATATCTGTTCAATAGCATCACACTCATTTGATATTATTTGCTCTTGTTGATTTTCAAGCGTCGGCCGCTAATTTTTGTAAGAATTTTCTAAGTTTCGAAAACAATCTATTCATACCCCTTTAGGTTGTAGTGTTAGCGTCAATATTAATGACCAAAACCTCATAACTCAAAGTCTTCGACCATCTCAAAATGAAACCATAAACGGTGAGGCCTCCTATTTATAGAGTGGATGAAAGGTTGTACGGATTTTCGTGATTGCTTCTGATTAGTCGAATTAAAATTGTCCGTCCAAAATTGCAATATCGACTAATATTTTTTTTGATTTGAACCAATATCGCATCCATTTTTAATTTGATATAGATAAGCACTAATTTGATTTAGCTCATCAAATCGATCAAAATCTTTGTTCTAAGTTTAATTATCCTACTCTGAATACATATCCTAACTTAATTGGACAATCACATTTGCAAAAGAAGAATTGTTGAGCACTGAAATATTTATGCAAAATTTTGAAATCGACTAAAAGTTTTAATTGTTTTCAAAAGATTTATCCATACAAAGTCTTTGAAAAAAAAATTTCTTCAAGGGTGTATTCGTTTCGCGAAAAATGAGTGATTTGGAAAACATTTTCTTAAAAATGATTGTTTGTATCGTTTAGAAAAAATTAGTCAACGGAAAATATTTTCATCATCGATAACAATCTATGCCTAACTATTTTCGTGAAAAAATGAAAATATTTTCCATTCATTTATTTTTGTAAAAGATATAAATGATTATTTTTTAAAAAATATTTTCTAAATCACTCATTTTTTATGAAACGAACATTGTCTAAATCTAGGGTGTGATATACGTAGAGTTGTCAACATGAAGAAGAAAACTGTAAGTATAGTTACCAGAAAGCAGGCGATATACGAATGCAAAATTTCATTTGTTTCATGGAAAATCGTTCAAGTCGAAATAAATTTCTCTCGATTTTAGACGTTCACACCACGTGCGAAAATGAATTATCGAAAATCATTTTCGTTATCAATAAACATATCGATAATAATAAAAAATATATTTTATTAGTTCAATTAAAGTGAGGAAGAATTACAAACAGATTTTGTTATCTTCTTGGTGCGCCTGTAAATGAAAATATTCCTCACGCCACTGCAACTCCTAACGCCGATCCTTAACTTCTAAGCTATCCCGGACAGTGCTCCGAGCGACCAACTCCATCCGATCCGCGAAGCAGGATTCGAGGGGATTTTTTATCGCTCTCTTTCTCCTGCTCCGAATCCTTCAGAAGCTCCGATCGGTTGACCTCGAGGCCTGAAGATCTCGCTTGCTCTCCCGAGGAAAGGGGAAACCGGGGAAAATGCAGAAGATGGCGCAGTCGTGGTTCTCCCCCGACGGCGGCGGCAGCAGCGGCGGCGGCGGCGAGGATCCGCAGAAACCGTCGTCCTCCCTGCTGGCCGATTGGAACTCGTACGCCGCCTCCCGTGAGCCCGACGACGACGCCAGCTTCGGCATCGGCTTCGATATCGAATCCGCCGTCAGGTCTGCCAACGACACCGTCTCCGGCACCTTCGGCGTGTAAGCTCTCTCTCTCTCTCTCTCTCTCTGATTCGTGTGTGTATGAGTCCATGTGGTTTGGATTTAGGTGACCTGAGTGAGCTTTTCGGTAGATCTGTTAGAATTGGAGACTTGACCGGCTTGTTTCGGGGTGAAAACGTGTCGAGCCGTGGCTGTTGATGATGGATATGCTTGTGGATGTCTCTTGTGTGTGCGTTCGCGTCGCGGTGTTGTTTCACGGCAGACCTGTGGCTGCGGACGGATACTGTTCCTCGCTCGTTGTTGTCATTTGTCATTTCTGCTTGGTTCGACTCGGAAACGTTTTGGACTTGGTAATTAGCTAAGGCATGCTAAATTCGACTGGTGTTGTTGATTTAGCGAAGGCGATTTCTCTGTTAATAGGTTCTTGACCATATATATGGCAGGGGAAGTATTTGGAGTGTATTCCTGCCTAGGATCTTGCTTGTCAGCCTAAATTATATGTGTGTAATGGCAAACAAGAGCTGGGTGAATTTGCCTCATAGGACAATTTGGAGATATATATATCTGTAAAATCACGCATCTAAATGACTACGACAGTGATATGTTGACGTTACATAAGTAAATGTTGTGTCCAGCTGGATTGCATCCAGGAAAATGTTCGTTGCTAGTTTAATCCAATGCAGGGAAATCCTAATTAGGGCTGCTGCTTGTCGTTAAAAGCAGTCCCGATTTATCCGTCCCGAACTCATTGTCCATCTCGATAACTGTGATCTGTTAAAAAAGTTTCTTTAATGTTCTCCTTGCTTTAGCTGCACTATCAGAATGTTACCACGTGCAGCCTCCTTTCTCTTTTGTGCTTGTGTAACTGGAACTAGGAAGGGCAATCTCATTAGGGAATCGAAGAATTGATTCACATTTATCTTACTGTTAGTCTGGGGATATAAGAGCTTCATTCAAATATCATTGTGAATGATGGAGAAACCATATTTCTTTTCATTTAGCAATTTCTTTCAAGAGAGATGTCCATAATGGGTTTTTGGTACATTGACCCTGGTACTCAACAATCAATGGTTTTTTGGCTGTGATCCCTCGTTCTTTTGTTTGTCGTAGGACTTAGAAAGAGAGGATACTGTCCTCCAGACAGTTGCCTTTGTGGATTTCTTGAATGAGCATTCTTATTTGCAGTTTCATTTTCTGTAAATGAAGAAGCGTTGTTTAATATAATATTTTGTTTATGCTTTAGTCGTCTTCTATTCGCATAATGTTTCTTCTACTTTGTTTTATTTCTTTTTATATGATTCAGTAGGTAGCTGTGTGCTTTGACTTCATAGCAATTATTTCAAGTGTTTGACCGTGTAAGTAGATAGCGAGGTTGGAAGATCATCTGTTTTATTGTCCTCCTTCTATTAATTGTGTTTCTCTGGAAATCAAGGAGGACTCAGTTAATGCTCTCTTTGGATATTCTGTGTCTTTTAATGATCAACCACGTTCTAAAGCAATGATGCATTTTTGCTAACTGGATTGCATTATGAATTTTCCCTCTTAGAAGATCCTCCTGAAGCTACTTCACTGTAATTGTGTATTCGTATCCTGGAATGAAAAGTTTATTCGTGTCTCTGTCTGATAATCGAATATCCAAATAACCGGTGTTAAGTTTTAATGTAGCTGAAAAAAGCCTAACTCGGTCACAAGAAGGTATTACTCGAGAATCTACATAATAATTTACATTCTCCCTCATCTTTTCGAGTCATGAATCAATTCAAATCTTGATTAGAAGATTCGGAATTAAGTTCTAATGTAGCTTAGGAAGAAAGTGAAGTTCAATCGCCAGTCAGTATTTAATTGGGGAATCTATAAAATAATTTCTTATAAGTGCTCAATTTTGCAAGCTGAACTACGAAGAATCACACGTCAATATAAAGAGAAGAAGAGAAAGTAGAGAATCATTCCAATTAGATCACTAGCAATGGGTTGACCATTGAATTGAATTTTTCTAGCACGCCGCTTATAGTTATAGAGCCCAATCTAGAATCAAGCTTGGGATAGACTTAAGTCTCATCTGGACAGACTGTAGAAATTAGATTTATGCATCCATGAATTGAGAGTTTTTTGAGAACTGCGCTGAAATGGTAAATTGCGATAGAATCAAGACTGCAGACAAATCTTGATTAAATCAATTGATTCTTCCTGTTCTCACTGTCCATTTATTTCAGATTTTAATCAAAGCAAATTGTAATCCGTTCAAATCGCAGAAATAGGTATTTTAACCACGTCATATGCCAGAAGCAGTGAACGTCATATGCTTGTATGGTCATGTGAACTATTACTGTTTCTGAATGGTTGTTTTACTTATATATTTCCCTTGACATTTGTTCAGGGTTTCGAAAGGTGTTAGAGACTTACCTGGGAACTTCCAATCTGCTGCCAGTACAGTGCCTTCTGGGAAGGCTCTCATGTATTTTGGTTTATTTCTGGCTAGTGGTGTCTTCTTCATTGTGATTGCTTTTACAATGTTCCTCCCGGTCATGGTGTTGGTGCCTCAGAAATTTGCCATATGCTTCACACTCGGTTGTTGCTTTATCATTGGATCCTTTTTTGCTCTCAAGGGTCCAATGAATCAGCTTTCTCACATGTCGTCGAAAGAAGTATTCACTCTTCATTTTGGTGCATTTTCTTCCTTTCCTAATCGATTTGACTCTTCTTGAGTCTCATTGCTCTTTATTTACTGTTTATGCAGAGGCTTCCTTTCACCGTGGGATTTGTTGGCAGCATGGTTGGTACCATATATGTCTCGATGGTGCTTCACAGTTATCTCCTTTCTGTGCTCTTCTCTATATTGCAGGTACCGCAATCACAAGTCACGTGCATCTACATTCCTCTGTAAAAATTTCAAATGAAAATTTAGCTGACACATTTGAATTGCTTGTAGGTTCTTGCACTGGTCTACTATGTCATTTCATACTTCCCAGGTGGGTCTACAGGGATGAAATTTCTCTCGTCGGCACTTACTTCATCGATAATGAGATGCTTTGGTCGATGAACGAGCTGTAGTAGCTTTGTCTGTTATATCTGTCGTGTTGTTGTTTGATATAGCTCCAGGACCCGAATGACTTTGGTTATTAGTTGGAAGGCAAGGATTTGGACAAGGAGCTTCCAAGCAAGGACATTCCCCTCTCTTCTCCCTCTCTCTCTCTCTCTCTCTCTCTCTCTAGCGCATTTTTGCAGTTGTTTGTTGCATGATGAAAGGTCATCATTAACATCTCTGCGAAGTATCAATGATTCGGCTTAATTGATGTGATGGCTGGCTGGCAATTAGACCAGACCCATCGCGCTTGTCGGTCGCCTCACGTCCAATACTCACGTCTTAAGATGACTTGGTTTTTCAAACAAAATCACTTCGTCTTCAGCATTTCAAACAAGCCGGTACCGTATCTAGAATGGTTGGGCCGAGCATGTCGTTCTGATCTCTTGTGCTCTTTCAGGGCTGTTGATTCATCGACGCTGCTTGTTTCGGCTTATAACTTATAAGCCGCGCCTATCATGTCACGTAAATTCTCTATAAGAATAAGCTATTTTATTTGTAAAAGATCATGAAGTAATGGAGGGTGGTTTTGCTTTTAAATGCGGATTTACTGTTCTTAAAATTTGAGGTGCTTAATAACTGAAGTAAGATCGATTTCAAACTGCAAAAGGAACACCAAACAACCGTGCTAAGAAATCTTCTTCGTCTTCTCTCCTTTTCCTAAAAAATGCCTGGAGTAATATCAAAACTACTCCAAGTTTCCAACCGCAATAAAAAAAAACTCAATTTAATTAAAATTTCACGACTTTTAAAGATTTTAAATATTAATGTTTATAATTCTAAAATAATTAAGGTGCTCAACACTTTGATAAGAAAAATCTAAGGGTTCGTGTGTTTGAAGAAAAACTATTTTCGAGAAATTGTTTTCTAACTCTTGGTGTTTGGATGGAAAATTAATCGATTTACGAAAAACGTTTTTTATGAATTGAAAATAACAACCTTAGATTGAAAAAAACAAGTTTTCCTTCTGGTAAGAAGGAAATTACTTTCCCTAAACAATCAAACAAATGAAAACTAACTATTTTCCTTAAAAATGTTTTCCTTTATCATGAAATTTTTGGTGAAACAAACGCATCTTAAGTTTTTGGCTCGATTAGTCCCGATAATACGGTTTTGTAAGGAAGCAAGACTTATTGTTTGTTTTTGCATAGCCACTTCCTATTTTAAAGTTTTTTGACATACAATTCGTGTTGACAAAAATGAAAAGTAAAAATTTCAGAAACTAGAATATTGAAGATTGTTTCCTCTGTTTCACTTTCACTACCCTTTTTCCTTCCTTCCTTTCCTCGCACGATTTAAGAAGATTTCAAAATTGAAATACATGCCCTTTTCTTTTCTTTTCTTTTCTTTTTCAACATGCAGGTTGCAATTATCGGCACTTTTGTGCGCACGAGAATTCTTAGCCATGAATGAAACCATCATCCACCTTTCAAATCGGTGCGGTTTGACTCGACCAGCCGAGCGCATCGTGGCTATCTACGTGGGTTACAATTAAACAACAAAAATGCGCAAGAAGAAGGCGCAAAGTTCAGTGCACGTATTTTGTTGACTCTCGTGATTGACGAGACTCGCTCTCCTTTCTCTAGTGGAGGGAAATCGTCCCCAGAACCAAGTCCAAAAGCGTCCTATCATCTAATCTTATATCATAGCAATCATTAAGAAGAAGTAATTGGAATCCCGGAACCCCGAAATCAAGGAACGATGAGGAAAGTGACGCTGCGACGGCTTTTGGATTTGGACCCCGATTTGACGTTTGACACAAGCGTTTTTGTTCAAAGACAAGGCTAGTCTTCTTCATGATAAGGCTTGATTTTTGGTACGTTTATTAGTGGGAAAAAGCGAGAGCTACATGCTTATTGCTTCATTTGAAAAGGGGAATCGAAATTATAATAAGGGAAAGCACACGCGAAATGAGGGAGGAAAGGCTAAAAATTAATTAAAAGAAGAGGGAAAAGAAGGGCCGAGAAGATAAGGCAAGAATGCAAAAGCCAAAATAACATTCAGCTTGGTGAAACAAAGTCAAGTAGGCTTGCCCACCACCAAATGAAGAAAAATATTGGAACCAAAAGGAGCCATAATACATGGTCTTTGTAAGAAGTGATTGGTTTTAGAGTGCGTAACTTCCAGATTTGAAATCTATAACCTACCCTATGAGAACCGGTTCCCAATATTTAGAATTCATAACCTATCCTGTTTCATCTGAAATCGACCCTGTTTCCAATCCGATTTTAGGTCTACTCGAGATCTTTTTTTTTTGTTTCACTTTTTTACAACAAAATGATATGAGTAACCAAATGGTTCAAAGTAAAAGATGAATAAAAGCAAACAAGCAACGGCGAGTCAAGAATGAGCGAGAGTTGTGAGGCTCGAATGAGCAAGGGTGAGCTGCAAGTGAGGGAAGAGGAGGGTGAGTCACGAGCGAGAGAGAGAAAGTCATGAAGTATTAGAATGATGTTAGAGTGAACAGAAAAAGAGAGAGAGAGATAGAGAAAATGGTGCAAAGAGAAAAATTAGGGTTTTTAACCTTTATGAAACCGGTTTCAAATTCGGTGCAACTCTTGGGTGGTTCTCACTCGAAATCGGGAACCGGACCGGTTCCCACAGGTTCCAAAATTTGAAATTGAGAACTGAACCAATTTTCAGAGCGGCCGGTTCGATTCCCTAGTGGAATCGGTCTGGTTGCATAACTTTAGTCTCTATTCTTGGTACAGTGTGCCACGTAAATCTGCTAGCGAAGACTGGACCGCCACGTCAGTGATTTCCGATGAAAATTGATAGGGAGGATTAAGTTGGAATTTCGATCAAAGGTTTATGACTAAACTGGCAAAATAACAAAAATCCTCGAATTGACATTCGTATAATAGATTTATGGCCGATTATGTTATTTTTTCCAAAGCTAAATAAATAGATAAAAAGATGGGTGTGGCCAATAATTGCTTTAAGAATACTCTCATTCACTTCTTTCCAACATCAATCACTCTATCTCGACAAGAAAAGATTCAAGGCTCGATTCTCCTGCAATGAAAATAATATCCACGGAGATCGGGTCAATTTTACTTCGAAACTCATGTCCTCGCGACTGCGACACCCGATTTCTCCTAAAATTTATTGGACAGCATCAACTTGCGGGACGAAATATCACTAAATCAGACAGTAGTACTTTGATCAAGAATGATTGAGGCACATAATTGCAGAAGGTGAGATCGCGACCCAAGTGAAAAAGGACACGAGTCACTTCGAACAGGGGCGAAAGGTGACCGGCGGTGATGTCGCGAAATGGGGGATATCAATCCGCTCGTGTGGATGGGCACTGCCTTTTGGAAAAGAAGAATGGGCGATGGGATTTTGGGAGGGGGGAGATCACATCATCAAAATCTCAGTCTTAATCAAGGTTTTAGTGACTGCATTATTGGACACGACCGGAGATTACCGACCACAATCCCTTGCACGTGCGTGCCCGAGCTGCGATCGAAGGCAGAACAGAAGTGATGTATTTGCTTCGCGTGTGTTGGTGACTCGGGGTGAGATCTCCCCTTTTTCCAAACCTTTTTCTTTCCCCCGTAAATATTGAGGTCACGAGAGCACTGAAATTGGAAGCGTGACGTCGTCGGCTTGCACACGATACTTCGATACGCTCGATGTTAATCCATTCGAGAACGAGGGAGATCAGTATCTATCGTGTTTCTTTGACAATATAATGTGTTGCGATAAGAGGGTAATTATAAGAAGATTGCTCGATGTTAATCTATTCAAGAGCGAGGGATATGAAGATCGACGTAGTTAGAACCGAAAGAATTATTGTATTTCTTTGATAGTATGACGTGTTACGATCAAAGGGGTAATTCCTCGATATTAATCCATTCAAGAATGACGGATATGAAGATGGACATGGTTAGAACCGAAAGGATTATTGTATTTCTTTGACAATATTATGCGTTACGATCAAAGAATAAATATGACCGAGCCGTGTGTATAGGAAATGAAGTAATCTAATGTAACAAGAGAGTTAGCTATCTTAGGAAATTACAAAATATCATTTAATATGCCTAATATCTATTATTATCTCTGATAATGTTCTCTAATATCCCCTCGAAATCCATGTAGAAGTAACATTGAGTTTGCAAATAAAGTCTTCAAATCCCGTTGACGCTTGAAAATTAGAAAACGCAATAGATGCGAGAGGCAATAGCATTGAAGTGCGAACACTCTCTTACGGTGTGTAAGCCGGTCCTCACGCTATATAGACGTGGACAAAACCACTTCAAATAGATCATCGTGATGTTGTTGGTGTTGTTATGGAAAACGACACAAATAATTCCTGAACTTTGACCTAACGTGCATTGTCATTCCCAAGCTATTAATTTATTTAATGTGATACTTGAACAACTTTAGCCCAATGTACAATGTTATTAATTTGTAAAAAAATTTATAAGATTAATTAAATTCAAACGTGGAGTAAATAGATTTAAGTACGTAGTTTGCTTTTGGGCTAATACCACAAAAAACTCTAAACTGGTACACATGTGACAAATTTACCCTAAACTAATTTTTTGACCATAAAAAACCCCAAACTAGTTCACCTGTGACAAATATACCCGGTTAGTTTTTGTTAAATTTTATCTTCAAATTGCTGAGTTTGATGACACGTTGCAGTTGATGGGTGTACCAGTTTAGGGTTTTACCCCTCTGTTTGTCACATATTTATCAATTTATGATTTTTTGTAGTATTAATCAAATTCAACGGAGGATGAATTTGTCACAAGTGTACCGAATTTAGGTTTATTGTGGTCAAAAAATTAGTTTGTGGTGAAATTGTTACAGATGTCCTAGTTTATGATTTTTTGTGATCAAAAAATTAGTTTGGGGTAAATTTGTCACAGGTATATCACTTGAAGTTTTTCGTGGTATTAACCTTTACTTTTAATGTTGTGTCATTTTGTCTCGAAGATGTCCAAATAGCCATTGATTGAATTACTACTTCTTCTTCTTCTTCTCTTTCCAATTTTGCAAGAAAGCCATCGATTGAGCGAGCTTTCATCCTGAATTAAGCTTTCACGTTCTGAGTAGTGGCTCCCCAATACGGCATTGGTGTCAACCACCCGTCTTCTCATATGGATTTAATAATTTAATACCTCTAAGGACAAACATTAAATGAATAAATAAACTAATTTGATAAATAGATAAAAGAGAAAACCAATTCATCTTCCAAAAAACTCTACATGCCGGCATGTCATACCAACACCGCCCAAGAGTGGTGGATGTCACGTACTTTGATCACCTCCTCCAACTAATTTAATTGAAAGAAACGTACGATCCTATATAAATTCCTGAGGCAGGCACCATTTGCAACATCAATCAAACACCGATCGATCTCTACCCCCTACATTGGTCGACGCATATAACTTACACGGTCGCCGGTCGCATCGAACCATGGGAGTTTTCGCGTCATCAGCGCCGTTTCTCGTCGCTCTTCACTTGGTTTTGGCCACCGTCCGGGCGGGAGGGCTGCTCCAGACGGTGCCGATGGAGGAGTACGAGCTGTCGTTCCAGTACTACCAGCAGAGCTGCCCCCAGTTCGAGGCAATCGTGGGCAGGAAAGTGAACGAATGGATCACGAAGGACTATACTTTGGCACCTGCCCTAATGAGGTTGCACTTCCACGACTGCATCGTCAGGGTAACGTAGCTTGTCCAAATGCTGTTCGGCATCAACAAAAAAAAAAAATCATAAACTTTTCAAAGACCGCACTTATGGATAAAAGCAAATGTTGTCTTAATTCTCAAATGGAAATTGATTATCTAGTGTCCATAATAAAAAAATGATATGTGCATAAGGCAATTTCACAATCACAATAGGAAGTCTATAGTTACTAAATTAATCCGCAAATATCAGTAACTTATTGACTTCTAATTTTCCAGCTCACTCTTGATTGAGCCTTTTATAGGCCAAATCGAAAAACTTCTACATTAAAGTAAACCGAAATGTGAATTTTTTCGCCGGCTTCATTTGACTCGGTTTCCGTGGTTGGCCCGTGCAGGGGTGCGACGCGTCGATATTGTTGAACTTTCCGGGGAGCGAGAGGAGCGCCGAGGCGAGCAAGACCCTCAGGGGGTTCCGGGTAATCGACGACATAAAGGCGGAGCTGGAGAAGAGCTGCCCGAAGACGGCGTCGTGCGCCGACATCCTGACGGCGGCCACAAGGGATGCCACCGTGTCGGCGGGCGGGCCGTTCTGGATGGTCCCGTACGGCCGGAAGGACGGGAGGGTCTCCATCGCCAAGGAGGCCAACAAGGTGCCGATGGGCCACGAGAACGTCACTTATCTCCTCGAGCTTTTCCAATCCCAAGGATTGACTGTCCTTGACTTGGTCGTCCTCTCAGGTAAACTTTATTTATTTATTTTTTAATTTCTTTTCATAATATAAGATGAAATTTAATTTCACCTAATCAATGAATAAATAAACCCATTAAAATCCAAAACACTATATTCCATTACTCACGGTTGAAGGTGGGATAAAATTTGATTATTTATATCGCAGTTTATTTTCCGTGAACCGAACGCCAAAAAATCTGAAAAACATTTTCTCTGGAAGTAGTTCTTCATGAAACGAATGGAGCCCTTGTGCATAGGGTGCGTTTTGAATGGATCCGAGGAATCGTGTATGAAATTTTATGGTCAAGTTTGATTAAAAAATCATCGAAAAAAATGCATTTTTTCCCCTTTTTCGTGTTTTTTTTTTTTTGTTTCATAACAAAGTAAAAAACTATTGCTCCAATCTTTGGTGCAGGCGCGCACACGATCGGGCGGAGCACCTGCGAGTCCATCCAATCGCGGCTCTACAACTACAAGTACACTGGGAAACCCGACCCGACCCTCAACCCGCAGTACGCGAACTACCTGCAGCGGAGGTGCCGGTGGTCGTCGGAGTACGTGGCCCTGGACGGGACGACGCCGAGGACCTTCGACAACGTGTACTACGAGAACCTGCAGCGGAAGATGGGCCTCCTCTCCACCGACCAGTACCTCTATGCCGACTCCCGGACCTGGCCGCTCGTGGCGGCGCTCGCCACCCAGCCCAACCTCTTCAACTACCAGTTCGGCGTCTCCATGGCCAATCTCGGCAACAGCCAGGTGCTCACCGGCGACGAAGGCGAGGTCCGCACCAACTGCAACGCCGTCAACCGCCGCTACTGATTATTTTCCCGGTTCTTATTCGAATTTGTCTATTTTCGTTTCTTCTTTTCCTTATGAGTGTCGATTGAGAAGAATTGAAGAGTATCAAATTCAGCTTGGGTTATTATGAATACAATGGCAAATTAATGATTGTTCATGTCATTAAATTTTGAGCAATCCCAATCATGGTATAATGTCATCAAGCTCTCGATTTTACTCGATAACCCACCAAAACGTCAGTCTCATTGTTGTCGATGCAAGGGTAAACATATCTCGTGATCGAAAACAGTGCTTGGTTATGTAATAATTTGATCGAAAGCTTTCGAAATTCAATGACTCGATTTGAAGTAATTTAAAAAATCTACGGTTAATATACTAATCTACGTTACTAACATAATCAAAGGTAAAAATATATCACGCTCATCGAGTCTCCCTAATTATCTTAACAAAGACTTGTATGATCTTGCGGGCGATGTCCGTGATTAAATGATTTTTTTTCACAAGCATATCAATCTCGTTCCGTTATTTGGAAAATTCAAAGAAGAAGTTTGCTCGGGGCAGTGAACAGGACAACATAGGATACTCTAATCGAGAAGCCCTAGTTTTCATCAAATCAAGTTTGGTCACATATGATCACTTGTACAAGTTGGACAAAACGAGATCGGACAATGATAACATCGCCGCCACTGCCGCCGCTCATTATAAGACAGCGGAGGCCGAATTCATCTACACAAGCCTAGCTCAATGCAAATCCTCCACCAGAAAAGTGAAGTCTCATTTCACTCATTTTTTTTCACATACATACTCTCTTTCTTCTTGGGTATTAGGCAGTGTTTGGTTCTGCAGATCAAAGAGCAAAGAGCAATTCCTTTGCTTTCTGGTCAAACTCCGGCAGCTTCTTTCACCCATCGGCGCTGAAATGCGCGCGGGGTTAAGGCCCACCTCCAGAAATCTTATCTCGATTCTCCTTCGCGGAGTGGACCCTCCTCCCACCATCACTAACTTGATGGGATTTTAGTCTAACTTAGTTTAATCCGGTCCAGATCTGGATGGTGTCAGAGTGCATTATTGGAGGGTGAAGGATCGGATTAAGATGCTAGGTTAGTGATGATCTATGCTTGTCCCACTTTCGTAGTGACAGCACGTGTGCCCCAAGTACCTCCAACCGAAGCTCAAGATTGATGTTGATGCTACTGTACTGCGTTGTGTGGTGGACCATTCTACTGTGTAGTGTCCTGAAGCCCCCCTTCTGCTCTCTCTCTCTCTCTCTCTCTCTCTCTCTCTCTCTCTCTCGTGAGTGCCAACTTGTAGTATTTTGTCCAAAAGGGTATTGATTGTTTATTTTGGGTACATAGTTATGAGCCCTTTTACCTTTTGCACGTTTTAATGGAGTATCCACATCTCGTCAGGAAGGGTAGTGTCTCTCGCATAGCCTTGCGAGTACTGTGAATGAACAAGGAAGTCTCGCGAATTTCCTTCCATTTCTCTTTCTCTCTCTCTCTCTCTCTCGTGACAAGACAAGAGAACGCCCATTATGAAAGCTTGCCCAAAACGAGGCAATCCAATAACCTCTCACTGGCAATAATGGGAATGTGAATTGTGAGTAGGCAAAATTGTGAATTTGTCTGAGAATGAAGCAGGGTACTCTTCTGGATGCACACCCACAGTATCTTTCTCGGGTACAGATTCATTTTCGTACACAGTGAAACACGGAGCACCAAAAGCAACGTCATGTCATGTCATGTGCACTCTCTATCGCAATTTTCCAGTCCTTTCAAAAAAATGTTTCTGGACAGTGGTCTGATTCTCATCCAATCATCTACCAACCACACCTCTCATTTTCTTTCTGAAGCTTTGAATATCGTGCAGATCAGATCATATTCATGTGATTAGATCTGTGATCTAGAGACCCAAACGAGGTTTGAGATTAGATCCGTTCACACTTTCCCATCTTTTGTTCAACTCCGTAGCAGCTGTAACGAATAATATGTGGAAAATAACTGATGCAGAAAATGCTATTCTATGTCTTGCTTTTTGTTTATGATCAAGCATGTTCTCACCACTTCAGCTATTATATTTCTTAAAGAAGGGGACAAAGAAGAAGACATCCAACAGTTCTTTTGTATATTGTGTGTCTTGCTTTCATAAGAAGTAAATATATGTTCACACTTTAGGGTGTAAAAAAATTGAAAACAGTGCATGGATTTAATGATTTACTGCAGGAATGTTGCCGTTGGGGCAAATTTGTAGGATAAAGAAAGCTAACCACAGAGGTCATGCAGTTTAATACTTCCACCATCCATGCTTCATGTCAATATTGTCTAAATTAACCAATGAGAATTAAGCGTGGTTAAGTCGAGTTCGAATAGTTCTATCGTCCCATAAGATCATATTACTCGGTTTATAGAACTAAGCTTGAGTCTTGCAATATTTTTACACTACTACAACAAGTCTCTTTTTCGGTTTGTCGGGATTCCGGTATTTTTTTTTTTTTACAGGTAAGGCTAATCCTAAGGCCTTGAAATTAACTGCTTGAAGGCTTAGGTAAGTAAATAATGACCCCCACATGACTTTGTATGGGCCATGGAAACCTGATACCTTACAAAAATTAACTTTATTTTGAAGAGAATGATGCTTTTCACCAGAGGAAAGGGCAAAAGAAAATAACCCCGAAAAAGGTGAGTTATGACGAGGGGAGTTCACATCTTTTTCTTCTGCACTTAGCTGATGTCCTTGTCGCTTCTTTTGTTCTTTCATTTCTATGGCTCTAGTTTATGAACTCTCTCTCTCTCTCTCTCTGATTTACTTTTTTCCCTTCGTTTCCTGTCACTCTCCCTGTAAATTCTGTTATAGAATAGGAGTACTTGCATTTTGCAGGAGGATTCGTTGTCAAGTACCCATCAAACCTAACTGGCCAAACAGTTGTGTAATCACTATGTGTTTTTGTTTTTCATAATCAGTGAAAAAATAGCGGGTGTCGAAATTTAGTCCCGTCAATTTCCTTATAGATAAGCAGATTGATTTCAGAAAGCAACGGAATTGATGTATACATACCCAATAATCAGCAGAAAATTCAGCGCAAATCATTTATTTCATTATTGCTTGAGTCGAGATGTCGTGAAGTATAATGAGAATGACGACATGCACTGCTAAAAATGGCCAAAATTGGATGACTAATCACTTTCTCTACACTGTATCATTGCTGCCAAAATGATTTCTCCTTACTTTCCATTAGACAAAAAGAAGAAAAACAGAGATCTACGCATGGCCTTAAAAGGCTCCATTTCGGTTCTCGTCCGGACTTCGGGATAGCTTGAATGTTAAACTTTAAAAGGGTATTCCCTTTCATTGGAGAAAAAAAAAGATATAAGGGAAATTGGAAGTGCGAGGCGTACGAAGACCAGTACGTTAAAATAAGAAACGCATCCATGAAGCCCGTCTCATAAAATAGGGACAGGCCGCGGAGGCCGAGTTTAAAAATATTGTCAGATCGAGCCCGTGACCTTACAATGCTAATTGCGTTGTCACGAGACTGATCTTATCATTTATAAGTAAGTTATGTTCTGTTTTTGTGAAGGTCATGTGTTAAGATAGTAAAAAACAAGTATGAATTATTAATTAACAATTTCAATATGGTGTGATGTTGTCTCTTCCACTCAATGCCAGTATACCTTCCCCAGCTTCCTTTTTAACTTTGTTTTAAACTACAGAAAGCCACCCGACAACATCACCAGATCTGCAGCTAATTAAAGATGAATTAAATACATATTAATTAGGAGTACAGAGTTATTCTTTTCTTGCATGTGCGGTTCATTACTCCATTAGATTCCACATGCAGTGCAACACTTTCTAAGAAAACCAAAACTTTTGCCAAAGGAAAGGTGAAAGAGTACATAAGTTGAACCCAGATCTCTGAAAATTATAACAAAATTTCTTTTCATGGATAGAAGTACTTTCAGATCTTTGATGTTATCTTAGTAAAAACAACACAGTTGACCTTTCATAAAGTGAACTGCAATTTGACTATGACCCATGTTGTTTCCTTTCTTTCAATCCCTTAACATCAATCAAATTTCGAATTTGACAGTGAAAAGTTGTGCTATTAAAGTTGGTGAAAAAATTACCGACCAAAAAAAAAAAAAAAGTTGGTGAAAATCTGCTTGGGAATAAACACATGGCCAACTCATAATTGCTGAAGCCATACACAATAGATAGACCACTGATGGGGCTAGGTTCAGCAAAAAAAAAAGAAAAAGAATTGAAATATGCCAAACGGGTTTGTATCTTGCTTACTTTAAATCACTGATGCATTGCCATCAAGGGAGGGTTCCACACATATCAGACAACCCATCTTGATCAGCACAACCAGTGAATCCAACCACATTTTAGTCTTGGGAATGAAGGCAAAAAAAAAGTTCGAAGATCTTCTATTTATGAGAGGATTGAAACAGGTAACCAGAAAAAGGGATTAAGCAACTAATCGGGACAGTTATTACCAAATTGAAACAGGCAAATCATGTTGCAAAAGATGGTGAGAAACTAAGCAAATCATGTGGATATAACAGATTCAGAAACTTTTCTTGGGCAGCAGAAAGATACAAAAAAGAAGCAACAAAATCAGCATTAGAAAACAAAACCCCCCCAAAAAATCCCATCTGCATCAACCATCTCTTAATTCACAAATATGCCACTTTCAATAATACTATCCAATATAATTTTTTTTATAAAAAAAGCAAGAAAAAACAGACGGTGCTCTTGATCTGGATCTGCTTTTCTTCCTATAAACAAAACATGGGGTTCCACCCTCTACAATCCCAAAACAGATTATCCCCTGTTCTGTTCCCTCAACAATGCCTGCAACCTTAAGGAATCTCCTTCTCTCTTCCAACATCTTCTCCTTCACCTTGTTCCTATCAATAAACTCAATATGTTTCTCTTGTGTATCCTCCATTGATGTACAGGGCCAAGCTCTTCTAGCATGGAAAAACAGCATCAATACCTCCACAGATGTTTTAATCTCATGGAGTCCTTCAGACCCAACTCCGTGCCAGTGGTTCGGGATTCATTGCGACTCGAACGGCCAAGTCACCGAAGTGAGCTTGAAGTCATTGGACTTGCAAGGCTCATTGCCTTCAAACCTTCAGGCCCTCAAGTCCCTGAAGACCCTTGTGCTTTCTTCAACCAATCTCACAGGCTCGATCCCTAAGGAATTTGGAGACTACCAGGAGCTCCGCTTGATCGACCTCAGTGATAACTCGCTCTCCGGCACAATCCCAATAGAGATATGCAGGCTTAGCAAACTCGAGAGCTTATGGCTGAATTCAAATTTTCTAGAAGGCGAGATTCCTGCCAACATTGGGAACCTCTCGAGCCTGACGTATCTGACACTCTTCGATAATCAGCTGAGCGGTGAGATACCGAGGAGTGTCGGAGCGTTGAGCCAGTTACAAGTTCTCCGAGCTGGAGGGAACGAGAACCTAAAGGGCGAGCTGCCTTGGGAGATTGGGAACTGCACCAACTTGGTGATGCTAGGCCTTGCGGAGACCGGCATTTCTGGGAATCTTCCTTCATCAATAGGAATGCTCAAGAGGATTCAGACACTGGCTATTTACACGACTCTGTTATCAGGCCCCATCCCTGAGGATATAGGAAACTGCAGTGAGTTGCAGAATCTATATTTGTATCAGAATTCAATCTCTGGCTCAATTCCAAGGCAAATTGGAAAACTCAAGAAGCTGCAGAGCCTACTTCTGTGGCAGAACAGCTTGGTGGGTACGATTCCTGATGAGCTTGGAAGCTGCACCGAGCTCACGGTTGTGGACTTCTCGGAGAATCTCTTGACTGGCAGCATTCCGAGGAGTTTCGGGAATCTCTTGAAACTTCGGGAGTTTCAGCTGAGTGTTAACCAGCTATCAGGTGCCATACCTCCCGAAATCACAAACTGCACTGCTCTGACTCATTTGGAAGTGGACAACAATGGAATTACCGGCGAAATTCCTAGTCTAATCGGGGATTTAAAGAGCTTGACCCTTTTCTTTGCCTGGCAGAATAATCTCACAGGCAGTATCCCAGAGAGTCTCGCTGAGTGTGATGGCCTCCAGCTGCTCGATCTTTCTTACAATCGCCTTTCGGGGCAGATACCGAAAGAGATATTTGGGCTGAGGAATCTCACGAAGCTGCTTCTACTTTCTAACGATCTGTCTGGTTTTATACCGCCTGATATAGGAAACTGCACGGCCCTGTACAGATTGAGGTTGAATGATAATAGGCTCTCTGGTACTATTCCATCGGATATTGGGAAGCTAAATAGCTTGAATTTCCTTGATTTTAGCAACAATAGGCTGGTGGGTCAGATTCCTCCAGCAATATCCGGGTGTGGAAATCTCGAGTTCATTGACCTCCATGCAAATGGCCTCACAGGGCCGCTGCCGGACTCATTGCCCAAGAGCTTACAAGTCTTGGACATCTCGGGTAACCGGCTTACAGGCCAACTTGATCAGAGCATTGGTTTGCTCACTGAACTGACGAAGCTCAACTTGGGCAAGAACCAACTCTCTGGGAGAATTCCAGGGGAAATTTTATCTTGCAGTAAGCTTCAGATGCTTGATATTGGAGGGAATGGCTTCTTCGGCAGCATTCCAAAGGAATTAGGCCAAATTTCATCACTCGAAATCTCTCTCAATCTTAGCTGCAACCAACTCTCTGGTGAACTCCCTCCCCAGTTCACTGACCTCACCAGGCTAGGGGTCCTTGACCTCTCACACAACAAGCTCACAGGAAATCTCAACATTCTGGGCAATCTTGAAAACCTTGTTTCCCTCAATGTCTCCTTCAACGACTTCTCTGGTGAATTGCCCAACACCCCGTTCTTCAGAAAGCTCCCCTTGAACAACCTTGCCGGTAACCATGGCCTCTACATTTCTGGGGGGCTCGTGACTCCGGCCGATGGCAATGAATCTGCAACTCGAGCAAGATCGGCTGCAAAGCTGGCGACGTCGATCTTTGTCAGCATTAGCGCAGTACTCGTGCTACTCGCGATCTATGTTCTAGTCCGTGGCCATATGGCCAACATGGGTCTCAAGGAAGAAGAGACCTGGGAAATGACTTTGTATCAGAAGCTCGATTTGTCGGTGGATGACATTGCAAAGAATCTGACTTCGGCCAATGTAATCGGTACCGGAAGCTCCGGAGTCGTGTACCGGGTCATGATCCCGAGTGGGGAAACGCTTGCTGTCAAGAAAATGTGGTCAACCGAAGAATCGGGAGCTTTCAGCTCGGAGATCCGGACGCTGGGTTCTATCCGGCACAAGAACATAGTTAGGCTTCTCGGTTGGTGCTCGAACAGGAATATGAAGCTCCTGTTCTATGATTACCTTCCCAATGGGAGCTTGAGCTCTCTGCTTCATGGCGTTGGGAAGGGAGGAGCAGAATGGGAGGCTAGATATGAGGTTGTGCTGGGTGTGGCTCATGCCTTAGCCTACTTGCATCACGACTGTGTTCCTGCAATTTTGCATGGCGACGTGAAGGCCATGAATGTGTTACTGGGTCCAAGGTTTGAACCATACTTGGCTGACTTTGGTCTGGCCAGGACTGTGAATTCTGATGATGATGATGGGATGTCGAAACCAAGTCAAAGGCCTCAGCTTGCTGGTTCGTATGGATACATGGCTCCTGGTAAATATTTCCTACTAGTCATTCACTTGGCTTAGTTAACCTTTTCTTGTTTCAAAAGATTTAATTTTACGTAGTTCTTTGATCAATTTTCATGCTCATGGTCCCAGAACATGCATCGATGCTGCGCATAACAGAGAAGAGCGACGTCTACAGCTTCGGAGTGGTTCTTCTGGAGGTTTTAACCGGGAGACACCCGCTAGACCCAACACTGCCCGGGGGTGCGCACTTGGTTCAGTGGGTCCATGACCATCTAGCAAGCAAGTGGGACCCAGTCGATGTCCTCGACTCGAAGCTTAGAGGGAGAGCTGACCCGGCGATGCACGAAATGCTGCAGACACTCGCCGTCTCATTTCTCTGCGTGAGTTCTAGAGCGGATGACCGCCCGATGATGAAGGATGTTGTCGCTATGCTAAAGGAAATCCGGCACGTGGAGCCGACGAGGCCAGAGTCCGAAATGTCAAAAGGTTTGCCAGCCATCTATTCATCTCCACCTCAGCCAAGGCACGCAGTGTCCCAAGGATCATCCAACTGCTCATTTGCTTTCTCTGATGAGTATTCCATTTAGTGATATTTAACCATCAAGCCTTTCTCTGATGACTATTCCATCCAGTGATATTTAACCATCAAGCCTAGTAAAAGGCATTGGGTTTTCATGCTTGTGAATATCTCTCTAGGAAAATCACCAGGTGAAAGAAGGATAGTGCAAAAGAGTTGTAGTCTGATTTGTTTCTAATTTCCAGTTAAAATGGTTATCTGTTATATATGTCCATTCTTTTGGTTGCTTTGAGTAAAACAGTTTGTCCATCATCATCAATAGCATTTAATGCAAACAAGGGAAAAAAAAATTCAAGCCACAATTTGTAGCAGAAGTATGGGGTTGTGCAGTATTGGAATTCGTGATTATCCTGACAAACAATGCAGAAGTAGAGTAAATTATCTCCAGAGAAGTAAATTCTTCTCATTTTCTGTGTTTTCCTGGAGATGAGTCACTGCAGAGAATGCAGAATCTGAAATCATGTTCTGACGGCAACTTTTGGAATCATGTAATTTAGAATGTACTGAAAGAGAATAATGACTCTCTCTCTCTCTCTCTCTCTCTCTCTCTCTCTCTCTCTCCTGTGGGCGTGGGCAAACTTTCCAGGCTTGCTTGTTTCACATGGTCCCAGGCTTCTCAGCTCACGTGTCCATGTGCTGTCTGAGAGAGACTTTCCAGCAGAGAAAAGCACTCCTAAGAACAAGCCCATTTGAACTTATTAGATCAGCAACACAACTCTTATGCCCCAGTTCTCACACGACAGGGACCATCCTACTGGATTTGGAAGCCTATTTGCCTGTTGAAAAATACGTTGGCCTTGGCTTGTCTGAACTCGGGTTTTTCCTAACCAAAGTTCCAAGGACGATTTATTCGATTTAAACTCGATCAAGTCGCAATTGAAACTTGGTTCAAAGCAAAGCGAGCCAGGACTGCTTAGCCTAAGTCCAAGAAAGCATCAAACTGTGATTTTTGTCGAAAATAGCTGGTGTTCATGCATCAGAACGAACTACAATGACGAAATGATCATCTTATCTTTGTAATACCACTAGTGTTTGTCTGAGTGGGACTGAAGTGGGGTTCAACGATCCAAAGGCGGCTATTGGGAAACAACCACAATTGATTTTGATGATAACAAAGATTAATTGAGTTCTTAATATATTTGATTTAGTGTACAGTTATATCTCATTACTGTTGATTTAAAAAGAATCAGAGCCTTCTTGTGAAGGGATAGTTAACAGCCGGATAATGTTGAAACAAACTGTAGTAGCAAGTGGTACAAGTATCAGAAGGACGTTCCATTAATAGATTTCGTGACCGTTGGGTCAAACCATATGACCTAGCTCATGTCTGTATAATATAGATATTCAAGTGTGTTGCAGCAAAAAGTCACGGACTAATCTCATCTGGAGATTGATGAACAATGTGCTCAAAACCTACCATATATAGAAGATTTGTCTAACTGGCCAGATTGAGTGAAGTTCTACATTGATTTCGGTGGGATCTTCGCGAGATTTTTAACCATTAGACAAAAGGACATAACAGCAAGTGGATCCAAGCTTAACGTTTGAATTTGGAGGCCTATAAGAAGACCAAACAACGAGCAGAAGTATGTAGGATCATTAGTGCTTAAAATCAGAGTAGTCGAAGCATACTGAGCGTTCTTGAGACGTATCTATTCCCCGCTAAATTATAAACAATTGAGTGCTGATCCTAAGAGTTAGTAAGAGTGGCATTTCTAGACCCACGAGAGAAGTTGTACTTAGAGTGAAGGTTGTCCAGACAAGGGATAAAGTGTACATAGAATTCTTTGTAAACGCTTAGAGGTGCTGTTCATAATTTGTACAGAGTCTGTATCGTGTTGCATATACAAGGTGTGAGAACGACTATTATAGGGTCTACTTGTTACTTAGCTCATAGTGGGGGTAGCCGTGAAAGGAGTCGAGTCAACGTGACGTAAGTTTCTACACTTATGACGTTCTTGACTCAACTAGTGGATTTCGGTCTAATTTTGCTGCTAGAACTGGAAGAGAGGAGTAGCCGCACTAAAGTAGAACTTCTATAAATCTCATTTTCAATTTTTCTTGCCCTAAGCTCTCTAATTTCCGTACCACACATTTCGAGTTCAGTGGCATGTAGAAGCAAATTCATGAAAAGGAACTGGTCCTGCAAAAATCAATTTATACATACTTGGAAAACCAATTTGCCCACCCTCTTGATTGCAATTTGGACCTAACGAATGTCCCAGTGGATTCCTAGAGTGACCCCTCGTTGTCCCACATATCCTAACTCTGAAAGCCCATGTCATTGAACCCTATCCTCAATTTTTCTTGCTCTGTTCTTCTGTTTCCTCCTTTTCCAAATCCTACATGTTCTGAATCCGGAATGTGCCTGCTATTAGGGTGGGGCCACTTTATCAATATGTGGACATGGAGGACATATTTGCCGTTGATAGGGCCTTTTGATGTTCCAATGAGACATCATTTGCTGTCCGAAAGAGCTTGAAGATTCTGATCATCCCAAATTTGAGGGTAACAAACGCCATCAAAGTTGGACAAACCCTTCATTTTATATGTCTGGCCTGATTAAGATTACATTGTGAATTTGGAACCACTAATTTTAAGGGTCTGAACCTAAATTGCCCTTCGTGCTAGAGTCAAGATCTTCTGATGCCACTGCTGTAGCTTTCTCCGAATCTGTTCGACAAGCTAACACCTCAGTAATCGTCCCGAACGCAGGTTATCTATCTCTGGACAGTGGTAAAGAGCGAATTAAGAGTTCTTCCCCAAGCCTGATATTCACGGGCACGACTACACCCTATATAAGTGAAGGGCCGATACCCTCGTTGGAGTGCAAAACTACTAAGACGGATATTCAGGGAAACGAGTTCAAAGCTGGTCCTTGCTCAGCAGTTACGCCTTTGATACTGCAAATAATGTTAGCGATTCATATCAGGCGAGGGTTGGGCACATGAAGCACAGTGACTCTTGAAAGATGTTTGAAGTTATTAACGATGGATCATCCACGGAAACTAAATTATCCTGAGCATGAAGTACGTGAAACATTATGCAGAATTACTCATAAACAAAGGAAAAAAATTTCCATATATAAATACTGCGTGTAAGGTTTAGGTAACATTCCATGACACCCTCGAAAGTCACACACATTCACAATTCACAACGAAGTCGAACTCAAATACTTAGTCACTGTACAGAGATAAAAAGGTAAAAAAAGAAAAGAATCACTCTCTGTACCATGAAATCTCAAGATAAATTAAAAAATTTCCCGCGAGGTGTGGACCTGCTCCTTCTAAACTCAGGAATGGATGAACTAACACCTTCCTTAGGATGGCGAACAGTACCGTTTTGAGGCTTACTCTCCAGTTTCCTTGGCAGCAAGCTTTCCATATCCAGTACATGTCCCCTGTAGAGGATTACAAATCATAGATATTATGAACGGAGCGATAAGAGATCGAAATTGAATAGGCTCCAAAACATCGCCAGATTTTTTCTCTACATGTTTCATGCTCAAGTAAATGCATCTTATCTTACCTCTCTTCAGTAATATGAGAGCTCTTCAAGCTTGGTTCATGCTTTTTAATTCTCAAACCACCATTCATTAGGGATCCCATAAGCAAATGCTCATTCTCTGGCTCAGAAAAATCGCTCTTTCGGCCCTCTTCTACCTTTTCACCCCCATTTATGCTGGGAAGCAATGTCACTGCTGCTTCATACTTCTCAATTCTAGCCGGAGGTTGATGCTTGGCCTTGGCCTTCGTCTCAAACTTGCTTTTCCTAATACTACCTTGTCTTACATTCAGAGCCAGCTTAAAATGGTCTTCTTCATGTTCTGGATGCACTTTTCTGGTGCTCACCTTCTGGAAGCTGCAATATGTGTCGAAGACATTTTCCTTCTTTGTAGGTTCCTGTAAGTTCATGTTGTTTGTCGAGTTGTTATCTGTTGATGGGTATATTGATGTCGCCACCATAGATCTACTGACGGGTACTCTTGCTGGAAAAGGTACTCTTGCAATTGGCTGGTTGTCTACGGTATCAGACTTCATTTTGGTCCTCATTACTGCTCCCCTATCAGTGGATACCGATCTCCTTACAGGAGGGGATGGTGATCTCGGCTTCACTGAGTTACCCAATTTGTCCTCAGCTGTAAATATTGGCTTAGGTGTGATATCCTTTTCCAGGAAGCCGGGTGGCAACCTCGTCCTCCTCTGCTTACCAGAAGAGCAACTTCTAGCCTGACAATTGTACATCATCATGAGACAGAGTTAAAGCGTCCCTCCACTTCCATGCATCACAATGCTAAAAATAATTTCAAGTTTTCTATCACTTTTAGTACGTAAAAAGAAGGCCATGTATTTGGATCATTCATCAACAACATACTATACCTCAGGGATTCTAGCATCATCATTGGACTTGTGAGAAATCTCAGGCTTCACACCGGTACCACATCTGGGCATTCGGAAAGGGGAAACAGCTCTTGTTTTCTGAGACTCTATGGTGGTCCGAGAGCTTCCTGCTTTGAATTGTTGGAGTTCTGCTTCTTTTCTTTCCAATGCCAGTTTGAGATTTGAAACCTGTATAGTAAACACTCATAACATTAATTTGTGTCTTGTAGAAACCAATGTAGATAAAAAAAATTGTCTGATACAGATCATCACAAACCTCGTCTTTCAGTTCTCTTATTTCACCAGTTTCTTTATTAGATCGAGCAGCACCCAGTTCTATGGAGGCAACCCTTTCAGCGAATTTGAGAGTACTAATCGTCTCGCCTAGAGCATTGAGCTCAGGATTTATATGAACAAACATTAATGTCTTCGCTTGCCCACCTGGTCAAATAATGCAAATATTACAACAAAGTAAAGGGATCACCGTCTTCGACCAAAAAAAATTGGGGGGATCACCGTCAGAGGAAAAAAAAGCAAGTCTATTTGTCAAAAAGGCAAGAGGAAAGGACAGTAATAATTGGGAGTGTCCTCCTCTGTAATCTTTATAACCAAAACATTCAGTCATAATTATTTTTTTGGTTGGGGAATTAACTTGTTCTGTTCTGTTTTTCTATCATTTTCAATCTGATATACTGAAAAATAAAATGAGAGGCTTTTCAAATGTCTGCATGTCCGGCCAGGTGCCTGGATAACAATGTAATCAAATAAATCAATTCTTGTTACGAATGTATTACCTAAAGAATCTTGCAGTACTTGCGTAAGCTTGCTA